GGGACAAGGCTTTTCCAGCAAGACAATGCAAAGATTCACAGGTCCAAGTCATCAACAGAGTGGCTCCTCAACCATGCAATTGAGGTCTTGGAAGACTGGCCAGCCCACAGTCCGGATCTTAACCCAATTGAGCATGTTTGGGCTCTGTTGAAGCGGAAAGTCAAGGCTCAATACCCTGATATATGGGAATTGAAGAAAAACCAGCTGGATGTAGCTGAGTTTACGCGTGTTCTCCAAGAGTGTTGGTGGGCTGATTGATCAGGCTGACATCGACCGTCTGATTGATTCAGTCCCACGTCGGCTGGCTGCAGTCAAAAAAGCTAGGGGCTGGTACACTAAGTATTAGTAATTGGAATCAGGGCTACAAGATGTACTAGCTAGGTTCTTACCTGGATTTTTGTATACTAAGTTATGATTTGTTAAGTCAGAAGTACCAGCGCTGGGTAATTTGAGTGGTTGGGGATTCAGGATGGGATGGTAACAGACTTTTGGAACCCCACTTTACTTTGTTTGGCGGTCAACTTGAGGAGGAAAACTGCTCATGCTACCCTAACCCTGGATCTTGAATCCTAAGCATGCTAAGGCCCGGGTCACTGCCGATGTGGGTTGTGGGGCTGATGACGATGCGTGATCCCGTCTTCAACAACCCAGAGTCTTGGCAATTCTCATTAAAGATCTAGTGTATCGCTTCAGGGCTGCGCTCCACGACAAAACCCTTCGCAACGATAGCTACACGTGTATAGATTCAATCCAGCCTACCAGTGGCGACTGCATACTCAAACGTAATACCGAGTAATCAACAGCTGCGATCCTCACTACAACTAAAACGGCCAACGCTTCTCGCGAGATCCAAACCCGAACCTGGACGACTACCACTCACATTTGCGCTGTCGCGACAATTGCAGCACGTCGGCAACGGCCGTGCAGAACGATTTAGAGTACAAGACGGTACATGAGGTAGTCTTACCTCAAATGGCCTGAATGGCATCAGAGCACGATCAAGAACAATTAACGCAGCAGCCGGCGCAACAACAAGAACAGCCACCTTCGAGCCCGCGAAATGACGAGCCCATTGCCGCCGAAGGAGGTACCGAGGACACGTCAAGTCAGGGCTCTGTACTAAACATAACACAACCCCCAATTCCATCCTGCGAACTCGAAGCCGATCGACCGGCGCTGTTCCCCGAAGACGACGGCGATACCGTCTCCATCCCATCCGACGCCCCCTCAGAACAAGTGACATCCCCAAGTGTCTCAGTACCTCCATATTGGTTCGACACCCACACTCACCAAGAACAAAACCACCTACAAGTGCATGGTCCTCGCCACGCACGCGCCGTCTCAAGTTCCTCAGTCGACTCGGTCCTACCACCGGGGGCGATCACGCTACAAGACAACGAACGGGAGGACGATGACGACGACAACGAGCACACGGGCCGGCGCAGCAATAGCAGCGAGTTGTATGGGCGGAACCGCAACCGGGCGTGCTGGGCGCGCAGCGTGCAAGTGACGGACTACGTGCTGGTAAACGGGAGCACGACGAATATAGGGGCGTTTGTGGTGTGGAATATTCGCGTCGAGACCCTAAACGTGCGTATTTTTTAGCGAACCTGCCCTACACTCAGACGATGGGTGGACGTTCCAGATCTGACAGCAGCCAGGGCTCCCGAATGAACATCCGCAAGCGCTATTCAGAATTTGACGACCTCCGCCGATGGCTCGTTCAAACCTTCCCCAACTTTGAGGCGGCCGTGCCGGCGCTGCCGCCCAAAAGCGTGCTGAAGCGGTTTCAGCCGCGCTTTCTCGAGAAACGGAGGGCAGGGCTGCAGTACTTCTTGAAGTAAGTTGTGGCGCACCTGGCCGGGCAGATTAAGGATTTATTGCTGACCCGATATAGCTGTATCCTGTTGAACCCCGAGTTCTCGGGCTCGCCCGTCTTAAAGGAATTTCTTTTCTCATGACCCGACCCAGTTCTGGGAGATTCTGGCTCACGAGATGTGCCTGTCCTTAGCAACGAAGACACGATTCGGGATAATGATTATCTTGGATATCGCTCGCTTTCTCCGCCGTTGCGGCGGTGTGGTTGGCGTACTACACCTAAATATAGGTTTGGCAATTGAGAACTGCACAGGGCTGAGGGCTACCGTGACGGTTTGCCTCCTTCGCGGCTGGCTCCACACATCAGCAGTGTCCACGCTCTTGGTTATTACCGTCTTATTGAGTCTATATGCTTCATCCTCCTTGAAGACCAATATTACTGATCCCAGACATACAAATCAAGTACTTCCAAAACCGCTGGTATGTACCAGCAAGGGCCCGATGATATCGATGCCAATGACACCCCGAAACAAACAACGCCATGCTACGATGCAAAACCCAATGCCCAAAGCCAACCCGTAACTCTAACCCAGGCGACTTGTAGATGTTGAATGACCTGCCTCCCACTCTGCCCTTCCATCGCCCATCCCTCCTTCCTTCCAGCCACCGAACCCCCTTTTTGTTATTACCCCAACTTCACCTCCATCACTCCACCTTCTTCCCATTCGCCGCCACCACCGCATCCGCAACCCTCCTCGCATTCTCCCTCTGCTTCTCATACGGAATCGTCAAGCAGCTAATCCCCAAAAACCGGCAGATGCTCGTGGTGACCAACCACGCCCACCTGAAGTACACCACAGCCGCAAAGACAAGGTACCCCAGCAGGTACGCGTATTCCGTCTCGGCCGAGACGGCGGGCAGCCCGAACCGCGGCAGATTGCCCAGCACCGCCCCACCGACCAGCGGCCAGAGCATGACGGTCCAGTAAGGGAATGGCTGGCGCGTGAGGTGCGCGAGGATCATCTTGGTTGTCATGCGGCCGAACACGAAGCTCATGATGATGCAGAACAGGACGAGGTGGTTCTCGGCGCGGATGGTCGAATAAGGTGAGTAGAGCCAGGCGCCGATGGAGAGGGTGTAGACGGCCATGGGGGTCCACTCGAGAAAGACGGGTGTGACGGGCAGGCCGCGGGTGCGGCGCGCCCGGACGACGTTGAGGATGCAGAAAGGGATGTGGGTGAAGAGGAGCGAGGCGATGATGACGGCCACCCAGACATCGCGGATGGAGAGGTCGGCGAGGACGTCGTCGGGGATGCCGAGGGAGCGGAGCACGGCGATGCGCGGGCCGACGAGCTTGACCAGGGGATCGGTCCAGATCGCCGGGCTGTAATAGCCCGAGAGAATCATGACGGCGCAGGCGATGAGGAGACCCTCGGTTGGGCCGTTGATGTAGCCCAGGTAGAGGGTGTGGGTGTGATAGGTCTCCCAGGTGGAGAAGAACATGGGCAGGCAGGGGCAGAGGGCGGTGAAGACGCCCGATTTGGAGGTGCCGAGACCCATTGCGGCCGTCTCGAGCAGGCTGGCGAGGGTGCAGTTGAGGCTGTCGATGCCGTGGTCGAAGAGCTCGCCCAGGCCGCTCGAGGTCCCGGTGCGACGGGCCTGCTTGCCGTCGACGTTATCGAAAGTCTGGTACATGAAAAGCCCGAAGGCGAAGCTGTAGTATACCCATGGTGGCGCCTGGAAAGTCAGCGCGGAAGCTGGTGGATGGTGGGCGAGTGGAAGCTTACGGGTCCTTCAAGATCCGGCATCATGACCACCAACAGGCCAACGTTGAAGAGGATGCACATAAACCCCAGGAGGGTGACCATGTTCGGAGCCAGCCATAGCGGTAGTAGCTCGACGAAGGCGTTCCACTGTTCCAGTCAGCCGTGTCCTCCCAAGAGAACACCAAGCTCGTCTGTCCTGCAAGAAGCTTCCATTCCGGCGGGGGCGGGGCAGCGCGTACGTATGGCCTTAGGATGTAGTGGGAGATGGGCGACTTGTCGACAGCCGAGTACTTGTACGATTTGAGGTGAATGAGGGCATCTTCCGAGACGCATTCGGCCGCGGCTTCTTCTGTTGAGTGGTCGACATGGTCAGCACGGATCGGACATTGGCTTCGGACTGTCGGCACTGCTTGGAAAGGTGGGGCGGGGTCTCTGCTCACTGCCATTGTTGGGAGCCATGGTTCGGCCGACGATTTCGGTATGGCAAACCAATGCCGATTTCCACTCCTTGTGCTCTCGCTGCGTATGATTGCTCGGAGCTCTGTCGGCTTTTCAAATAGGGGTTCAAAAGTCGGACTGGGGTCTGAGGAAACGGGTGGGAACAAAAAGGAAGAAAAATTGGCGATCCGGCGCAACACCTCACCCCTTATTATACGGAGTAGTGCGTGACGACCCGACGCGTAACGTCGTTGGCGGACCTGCGTCGCTATTCAAAACCCCTCGGCGTTGGCTTAGATTCCATATCTCCAGGATTGTTTAAAAAGAGCAATAACATCACGTTTCTCGTTGGTATTCATAGAACCTTGAGTACCTTTTGTACCCCCAATGCCCCTGGTGCGAATCAAATCTCAAATGACAAGCTTTCCCAAGTCGCGATCCACTCTACCCCCCTTTGCCAATTAGCCTGACATTTGAAAGCGTGCGGCACGTGGTGAACTCCGATTTTGTCGGTGGCATCTGGCCGTGGCCAAGTCTCTTCAGCAGTCCGGGGTTCTCAGCATGTTTGAGAGTGGCGATGACAAGTTGTCTGAACTGGCACTAGAATCAGGAACTAGAAGATCAGACCAGATGGACAGCACAACCAATAAGACCGTGAAGGGTGATTGGACGGACGGAAACGACTGAAAAGCAATGCAGGCAACCGATTAGAGCCAGGTTGATGCCTCCTGTCATCATGTCGAACTAACGCAACTATCCATCAGACCCAGAACAAGAGTTAAACACTAAGCGATACCCATGATTAACACTGTCTCCACTTCGCCAGTTGGCGATTCGCGATGCCTAACCAACCCCCGGTTTCTGAAACAGGGCTTCCTGTCCCATCCTATCCCGGCTGACTCAGACGGCAAACCAGGTTTCCCGCGGCCATGTGTATTAACCCCAAATTGTTATCCCAGACTTCGACCATCTTCCTTCACCTCTGGTACCACCTTCAGCAATATCCCTCGTTCAAGCCAGCAAAGCGAGCCCGGCGAACAGGCCGCCCGCCACTACCACAAGACCGAACGAGTCGCCGAAGCGCACGGCGCCAGCACCGCTGCCGTTGCCGTTGCCGCTGCCGGCATTGGAGCTGGAGCCGTCGCCGAAGCCGTTGAAGACCTGATTGCTGGCCGTAGCGGAGGCCGTGGCCGTCGCTGAGACGGACGAGGTCGTTTTCGTCGCGTTGCCTTTGGGCGGGTCCAGGGCGCCGCAGGGGTGCTTCTCACGGCAGTCGTTTCCGCACAGGTTGTCGTTGCCGCATCTCTTCACGCACTGGTTGCCCCATTCGGTACACGTGAAGTATGGCAGGGTCATGGTGTATTGGGTCATGTTGGGCTGCTTCCCGTCGCTGCAGACACAGCCGTATTGGAGGGTTTCCTAAAACAAGATTCTAGTTAAACGGCTGCTGGCAAACAACATGCAAAAAGGCTCCCCGTTGCAGGCATGGGGAAGTAGGACAAACGTACGGCATCGCATTCGTTGGTCTGTGGTGGGCCGACCGAGGTCTGGAGGCAGATGGGCCCGCAACTAGCTGTCTGGGAATTGCACCACGCCACTGCGACACTCGTCAGCTATTGCGTCTTGAGTATTGCTGCGGGCAGGTCGAGCCCACTCCTGGTTGGCAACGGCACGGTATCAGGTTGAATAACGTAGTCGGCTGAGACGGCAACAGCGCTGGCGAAAGCCAGGAGTGTTGTTCGAAACAAGACCATTGTGAACGACGGTCGGGATTAGCTGGTCGGAAGCTGAATATGAGAAGTCGTAAAGATGCGACCGCTGACTGTTCATGATACGTGAGCACTTCGGCCTTGATCCTCAGACAAACAGACAATAGACAACAGCATGAAGTTTCTGCAGAGACGAGACATGCAGTCCAGCCGGTCAGAGAGAGGGTGCGGACGGACTCACCTCGATACCAATCCTGACAGTCGGACGTCGGAAGGGGGCCGAAAATATTAGAGATGGAAATTACAGCACGGGGCAAGCCGAGTTCAAGACGAATAGATGTGCAAACGAAGGCGAGAAAGAATAATTAAGGCTCGAAGACTGGCACACTGGAAACGAGTGGGGGCACGCAGCTTGAGAGAGATGGCAGAAAAGGGCACAGAAGAAAAGAGCGAACTGGCATGATAAAAGAGATTCAAGCGCTCGAGCAACCCCGGATCCGGTGTGGATGTCAATAGCACCTTCCAAGCCCACAGGATGCCCTGGATTGGCCAATCTGGGCAGCTCAATCACCACAGCAGCTCTCGTGATAGGCCAAGACGGGCCACCCCCTGCCATCTCGCCGCACTCACTGCGCCGCCACAGGCATCAACAATCTGGAAGCATCCCAGTGATCCCACGAAGCAGCACTGCAATGTTTGAAACTCGGATTTACAGAGGGAGCTTGGGCGAGCAAAGCGGCGTTTGGGTCACGGCTTTGCATCTGTCTCGGACGATGGAAAACAATCCGATTGCGCATCAGCAACCTGGAACTTCTGACGCGGCCGGTGCCTGTGAGCCGCCACCTTGGGCCTCAACAAGTCCGGTTTATTCGAAAGTCACAGCTCGAGAATTTGTTGGTGGCGTTCCAGCTCATGGACCGAACTGATGCCCATCCAGTGCCGTGAGGGCACTGACCTGAACGTGCTGCCTCACGGGCGCCACTACTTGCTTTGACATCGGTTTCTGCCTCTGGATGGCGACGAAGTGCGATGCTACTTACGCCGAATCCACCGGAACGACCTGGCTTGGTTGTGTGGGTAGAGTACCGATCCGAGGGATGCTACCTAGGTGCCTAGGTATCTGATGCACACGAGGAGACTACATTCCTTCGTACTGCCAGATAGGCACCGGAGGTGTGATGGAGGGACGACTCCGTCTGAAGTTGCCCCCTCGGTCCGTGTTCGTGACATGATATGTCAATCTGGCGGAGTTGCATGCAGATGTGCATACGAGATACCCCGCCATCAACAACATGTGCGCCCAAGGCCTCGATAGCCAAACCGCTTTTCAATCTCGTATTTCCTTGTCCTTCTCGCATGCTGTCTTCCATCTGTTCCGGGTTTTATCAGGTTGGAGATATCTAGATGCCTCCACGTCCGGGAAGCGATCCAGCTTGCCCGCCTGTGCCGGATGCCGAGCTGTGGGGTTGGGTGGTGTCCGGTTCCAGCATGCAGTCTCCACGCGTTGTACGATCGTGTATCACCAGTACGGAGAGGCCATGAGAAGCCGACTTACTTGAATTTCAACATTTCCCTTGGCCTTTTGCTCGATGCATCGTATACCAGCGAAGAAGGGCGATCGATTCCGGTTGGTTGTTGACCCGGTTTTGCAGTGTTGCGCATCCCCCTATGCTCTAGCCTCGAATTTCGGCATCACCTTACTCTATCCGGAAAAGTGCTACAGATGAGCAGTGGATCTCAGAACAGCTTGGCAACGCGGGCCGTGCATGAAGCCTTGTGCTGAACAAGTGTCCAGTTCGGAACCAACCGTCGTCAGCCTTGCCAGCTTGCGGTATTCAAGCGTCTCAGCACCACAACCGTCCACCATGCGGATTTCGCACTCAATTGCCCCTGCGTTGCTGCTTCTCGCAGCGGGAGCTGCTCAGGCCGCGTCAGTTTGGGGATTCGACGACGGCAGTGTTTCGGTCGTTGCAAAGAAGTCGGGCGACACCATCAAGGAGAAGTAAGCACTTCCTCGACGTTCGCTTGGATATCTATCAACAGCCGCTGACAGCGCCTCGCTTTTTCAGACTCAGCCAAAAGACTCCTCTTCTGAAACCAGTATCTCTCGGAAGCACCGATACGCTGAAGCTGAGCTTGACGGCAAAGGACAATGGCAAGGGCAAACGGCCACATCAGGCATTCCTGCTTTTACAGGAGCAGGACTCGGGGCTTGAAGCGCCATTCCCTCTGACGGTCAAGGAAAGCGGAAAGGCTGCTGTTCAATTAGTGAGGAATTAGTTGGCCTCATTTGACGACACGAGTTACTGACACGGTCATCGCAGTCGCACAAGGACCTCCCTATACAACTCCTCGTCGCTGCTAAGCCGTTGAAGGCATCCGTCGTCCTCGCCTCCTTCGGCTCGGCCCAGGGCCTCAGCACTCCCGTCTTCGAGGTCAAGATTGAGACAGACGCAAACGTTCCGTCTCCGGCCTACGAGAAGCCCCTCCGCTACGGCAAGAAGCCCGAGATCCACCACATTTTCCGTCCTGATCCGAAGAACCCGCCCAAGGTGATTTCGCTGTTCTTTGCGCTGGGCGTGGTAGCGACGTTACCTGCCCTGCTCATTGGCGTAAGTGAAATCTTCCGTAAATCCTGTGGATGCCATGCTAATTCCCGGCAACAGTGGATTTCCCTCGGCGGAAATCTCAGCCATCTTTCCAAGGCGATTGGCACCGCACCACTTTCGCACGCTACTTTTCTTGGATCCATCGTGGCAATGGAGTTCGTCTTCTTCATGTATTACACTAGCTGGAACCTGTTCAAGACGCTGCCCATCATCGCTGCTGTTGCTGCCGTTACTGTGCTCAGCGGTACCAAGGCCTTGGGAGAAGTTCAGAGCAGGAGACTGGCAGGAGAGCGTTAAGCAGCAGCTGGCCTGTGAGTATACTGGCACATTGGACGCTTGTATTCCTCGGGCTGGCCCACGATCTATATTGTTCAAGAGATACTGTCCTGGTGTGATAAATGGCCGCACTGGAACTTCGACTATGTGGCCAACAAACAACATAGTTCGGGCATATAGATTCGAACAAAGAACAGCGCCATGTGTACGGATCTTTGTTGTGTCAGTTTGTCGATTTGTTGCTGTCGGCAACCTGAGCCAATCAGGGCGTGCGGCGAATGAAGCCCCACCATCAGCCATTGCGATCCACTCTGGATTATTTTGACCCCTGCATGTAAACAAATGGGCCTCCCATCGCGTCCCTCGTCACTGACAGCCCAGTAGCATGACAATTAGAGTCGACTCGCGACTGCTGTTGTTTGGCATTGTCTGCGCGCGACTTGGATTCTTTCTGAGAAGCGCCTTCTAACTTACCAGTACTATAGTGCTATGCGGCTTCGGTCTGCACTCGGCACCAAACGCCCTTTCTCGCTTTTGTCGGACTCGAAACCTCCCATCAGTGACTTCCGCGTCGCTTGACTGTTGACAATAGCCCCGTCCCCGTTTACTCCGAGTCTCAGGCGCACCTGCTGCTCGTTCAGCCATCTCCCTTTACCGTCGCGCTCGGCGCGGCCTCGGCAGGCTCACCATGGACATCAATAGCAATACTCGAGGCAATCATGCCACTAGCAAGCGCAAGCATATTTCTAGACTCAGAAAAGAAATGCTTCAGCATCGTATGCACCAGAACCCCTTCAGCTCACCACCGTCATCCACCGGCTCCCACGACACGGTCAGCACTACCACTGAGGAACTCACTCAGAATCTGTCCGACTTTTCTTTCAATCCCGACGGGGAGGGCACCCCCCGCCTCAGCGAAGACGCGCAGAACCCGTCGTCAAAGAGGCACGCCTCACGATCAGGTCGCTTCGGTTTGAGACACATGGACACTGTTCTCAACACGTCAGCCATTGCGCGCACATTCCCCGAATGGAGTGGCCTTTTGACCAAGGATAACCTAACTGCCACTCAGACTGTCGACATGGCCGCGCCATTCAAGCCCGTTTCTGCCTCGCCCGGGGGAAAGGAGAACATGCCCCTGACTCAGGAACGTGCCGATGATCACACATTCGATATCGTGGCCGACTCAAAGAGGAAGCGTTTCCGCCTTGACCTCCAAGCTCGTGTTGAAAACGAATCCGACTGCTCCACCATCCTCTCCCTCTCGCCGGCCAGGCCTGTCTCTCGTCGTTCCCGGTTTGCTGCTGCTCAGCCTGACGTTCCGCCATCCCCGGAGCCCGCCAAGCGCTCTCTCCAAGACATGATCTCTAAGATTCGCACCGAGAAGCAAACCACCAAGCGCGACACCACACCTAAGCGCTCTCCCGCCGTCCAAGCCATTCACGAGACCCCGGTTCCCATAACTGGGATGGATAACACCATGACCCCTACCCGCTCGTTCTTCCTGCCATCCTTCCGCCATCTTCCAGACTGGACGTCCGGCACTCTCAAGTTTAGCACTATGAAGAACGGCGTCCCCGTCTTTGTCAGATCCGCCAAGGGTGACGTGCGTCTTGATCAATATGGGAGGGACCATGACGAAGTTCGCGCCATCGGCATCAGCAAGGAGGACGAGGAGATTTTCGTCTCCATGGATAAGCTCCAGGAGGAAGTCCGTGAACTCCATGACCATGACGCGATGCTTCAGCGCGAGGCAGAGAAGCTGCAGCGCGAGGTCAACTTGCTCCAAGCCGAGCTTAAGAGGCTCAAGACCCGGAAGCTCTCGGATAGTGCCATTGGTTCAGAATCCGACGCCTCATTCAGGCGCAGCGGCGGGCAGAACGATGATTTGGAGCACGAGATTGCTCAGCTGCGCGATCGTCTCGATCAGGCTAGTAGGCAGGTCGGCGTCAACGACATCCACAGTGCTGCGCTCGCGGCAGAGCGTGATGAGGCCTTGCACCAGGCCTCGGTTGCCCGCGAGCGGGCCACAAGACTCCAGGCTGAGCTGGAGGCCACACAAAAGGACCTGGAGTCATCTCTCCACCTGCTGCAGGAAAAGGTGGAACTGCAGCTGGAGAACGGGTCCTTGCATACCGAAAACCAAACACTCAAGGAGCAACGCGATACAGCACTTCAGAACAACAAGACTCTCGCTGCTGAAAACGATAAGCTTCGCCGGGAGCTCAGTGGTGTCCAAAACGATCTTCGCATGGCCCGCGAGGAGCTCGATTCCCTTCGCAAGCAGTACGAGGCCGTGCAAGAGGAGAAGCGGCATCTTGCACAGGACCACGCGAGCATGGAGCGCAACAATGAAAACTATTTCAAGGAGAATAAGAAGTTGCAGGCACAAGTCGCCGCGCGGGACCAACACATTACTGATCTGAAGAAGGGCATCAGTTCTCGGGACAAGATGCTTGATAACATCCAGGCCCTCACCTCGGACACGGCCATGCTCGAGCTGAATGCCGAGCTAGACGCCGAAGTCCAGCTCCTGCATAATAAAGTCGAACAGCAGGCCGCCGAACTGCGTCAGAAAGACGGCGAGATCAATGCAACAGAAGATCGGATCCGCTCCCTCAAGGAACAGAATCTAGACTTGTCTATCGACAACGACCGTCTTCGAGAGCAAATTCAGCGCCTCCGTGGAGAACACGGCGAAATCAGGAGCCAGTGGGCCGACAAAAAGCATGAAGCGGCTCGCTCAAACCAGCTCCTCTCCAAAAATGTCGTCAATCAGGATGCAGACGACGGCGTCCGCATGGACGAGGGCTTCAAGCAAAGGGAAGCCGCTCTCCTGAAGAAACTCGAGCGCAGAGAGGCAGCTGTCTTGAAGGTCAAGCGCCTGTCTAGCAAGATCAGCGAGATTGCGGAACAAGAGTTTACAGGGAAATCAACTAAAATCACGCGCGTCATTGAGCCAAAGGACATGCAGACGGCTACAAACGAGTCGACAGGGAAGAGCAGCGCTGTCAATGTCGACGATGATCCGACACGGGAGCTCCATTTTACGGAGGACTCAGACTTTGCTAGCGTGATGGAGGGCGAAATTGTCAAGCTGAGGCAGGCCTATGGGGAGCTTCAGAATCGGAGGCAACAGGAGCTTGAGATCACCGACTATTCTCTGCCACCACTACCTCCAACGCTGCAACGAAGCAAATCCGACAGCGGTGTCGCTTCCAAGACGGCCCAGTCTAAAGCTCAGCTCACCGGCATTCTCAAGAAGTCTAGTCAGTTTGACGATACTGGTCGCTTCAGCGTCAAGTCTGCGCTGAGCATTGTCAGCCAGCACACGGAGGACAAGGCTGTCGACACCGTACACAGCCGAAGATCCTCAATACATACCACCCAGGACCTTCCCCGCCCTGCCTCGCGAGCCTGCCGCAACTCCGAGTGTGACCCGGACGCAACTGAGCCTAGCATGACGTCTGCCTTCTTCATGCCCGACATAACACTTGAGGACAATAAGCAAGGCACCGCCAAAGACCTGCCCTTCCCGTCGCTCAGTAAGGACGCCCGCCGCGTGCTGGACGGCATCTGCCAGCACAACTCTGCCAACTGCAATATTTGTGTCCGGATCGCCGCCCACGGCGACAGGTACTCCACCGCCGCCAACCCCGCCACAGCCACCACCAACAAGAACACCAACAACATGATCCTTATCACACCCGAGGACGTTAAGCGGGGCAAAAAGACCGTCTCAGCCGAAAAGCCCGTCCCGGTCTCGGACCGCCCTTTAGAGCGCCCCCCTGCGGTCCCCGCAGCAGAAGAACTCACCGTCCGCCCGTCCATGCCGCCGGGCGAGGCGCTCGCCATCCTGATCAAGGAAACGCAGGACGAGATTGACCATCTGCAGATGGAGCTGAAGCGGCTCAACGAGTGTTACTTTGCGCTCGACAAGGCGGTGGGCATGCGCGAGCGGCGGCGGGTCATGGGAGAGATCAAAAGGGTACAGGGCGAGCTTGAGGCGAAAAGTGGGCATCTGTATCGGCTGCATGATGTCCTTGAGGGGCAGAAGTTGGCTGGGCAGTTGATGGAAGGGGATGGAGTAGATGTTACTGTTTTGAGTGGGTTGTTGAGGGCTAAGGTCACGGGACCCGGGGGCGAGAGGGAAGCGACGGGGGAGTGGGAGGGGTTTGAGTGAGAACTGTCTGCCTGTCTTTCTGTTTCTGGTATGTTGGGGATTCTGTGGATAGTTGCTGTGGTTGTCTGTTGTTGGGGTAGTGTTACAGGGGTTGGCTCTGGGGGAACTGGGAAATTGTTCTTACTTGTTATCGTTACACATCCTTGGTGCTTGGTTTCGTTTCTGGGGGTTCAACTAAGATGGGTATTTCTGTATGGAGTATTCTGTTGGTTACGTGGCTTGTTGCGCTTGCGACATGCAAACTCTGTTTGGTCTAGACAGGGGGTCTCTCGTTCATAGTTGGTTGAGGGAGCATAGGCACATCACACAGTCGACGATGTCTGTGCCGTTCGCGAATTGCATATTGGAGCAGCACTACATGGCGTTCTGAGGTTCCTGAATACGTTCCTCTCATCCCCTACTCAGCCTATGCCACGGGTTGTTTGTGCAGGATTTGTTGTCTAAAATGCTCCTCTTGAGGTGCTAGGAGCGTTCATTCTGCTCCTCAGCAGTGGTGATCTGACGAGGCGTTGGTGCTGTTTCGACCACGAGGGGAGCATGACCTATATGCAGCGGGATGGAACATCGAGGAAATCTCTGATGTAAAAGATTACCGCTTCGGAAATTGTGAATCGTTGGCATCAGAATTTTGTTCGTAAATGCACCCAGTTGAAGACGCTTCACCCTTCAAATCTGCACCACTACCACGGGCCCTGTGCCAGACGAACGATGAAAGACGATTCGGGTGCTGACACTTGGACCCTCGGCCAAAAACAAGACACGGCCGGATACAGACAGAAGTCGAACATTCTCACACCCATGAACGTCTCACTGCCCCTCATGCCAGCCCAATCTCAAGGATCCTAATTCGCTAGCCACCTTACCACCATTAGTTAGTGTCTTGACAGATAGTTCTTTATAGCCGTTTTCGACGCCATCACCCCATTCCTCGGCCAGTCCTCTCTGCCTGACCAGCATTCGCCTGTTCCCCGCACAAGGCTGGAGGGGCTGGAAGGGAGGCGCCGAGAATGGTTGGTGATCGACCACTGAAAGGGGCAAGCCAGGAGCGGCAGCTGGTGGACGCCACACAAAGGAGACCTACGGAGTACATTAGCCGACGAACGGACACATTGTCTCGAGTCTTGTATAGTACGTAAATAAGGAGAGCCTGCCCTGAAGTGACTGGCGCATTTCCGGAATAGTCAACGCGGCGAGTACCGAGGCGAGGCAGCTCTGTTGGGGGCGTCTCGGGAAACAAAAAAGAAGGGTGTGCTTCGCGCATGGTGAGAGACGCATGTCGCTTTGCAGCGGTCAGGATGCCGGTTTCCTTCCCAACGCCGTGGGACTGATGTCGAAGACACCGTTAAGCTTGTCTCCCATCCGCTTATTCGGGGATTTGCTTGCCTGTTTCTCCTGGTTTTGACTACTGGCGCAAACTGGAAGGGTTGAGTTTCAACAGTTCCGCCATGCAGCACGACATCCCCGGGCGAGGGACCCAGATCCACGTCGCCGGAGAACAGTCCGTTGAAGGCATGGAGCGGGGTCTTCAAAGAACCGGCATGCCAAGGAGCGAGTTTTCTAAGGGCACGTCTCCGTGCGTCTAAAAGCACCAATCTGGGGCCGAGCCACATCACCATTTGGCAACGAACATCACCAGTACATGGTCAATTCAATTGACTGCGCGCATTGCAATGCGTCAGCATCATATGTGCAAACCGCAGAACCAGCCCATTCGCTCAAAAGCGTAATCCTGGCTGAATCGTACCAAGTGTGTCGCCTAGCAGCCCCACTTACGGGCCACGCCCCACTCTTTGGCCGCCCCACTCAGCTCTAGCTATGTGGCTAAGGGTAGGGTTCGCTCTAGCCTGAACATGGTGCCTTGGGAGGCTTGGAAGCCGTTGACCACGTAGAGAAGTAAATAGCGAGGCTTCGAGGATGATTTAGGGCAAGCGCGTAGTCAATTGGATTGGCCATGCGCTGGTGATGTTCGCTACCAAATGGTGGTATGGCTTGGCTCCCATTTTAGTGCTTTTAGATGCATGGGGAGGTGCTTTTAGAAAACTCGCCAAGGAGGTGCAGCTCCCATGTGCGTGATCCAACTCTTTGCCGTGTCTGAATAAAGAACATGATCTCCGGCCAAGCATTCACTATGCCGGACGGAGAGAGGCACTTGCGTGAGGGTCAGTGTGAATATCTGTTGAACAACACTGTATCATTGTGCTCTGTCAGTCATCTAGTAAACGCATGTGCTTCGAGGGAAAAGAGCGCGTCCGAGATGGGATTTAAACCTACAGGCGGTCCTGGCTTTGGTATACGTGATAGTCGCGATGAACATCGTGGGTCTGGCTGCATTAGCGGAAGCAACTCCCAATTCCACAGCGGTACGGCCAGCCAGGGATCCGGATGCCTGGGGAGTCATCGTTTGACGGGAGAAGCCACCCGAAATCATCGCCCTGTGAGACAACAAGGTCGCGGCAGGGGACCACCGATCCGGGACTAGATCGCTGCGCTCTCAGAGTCGCGCATCCGCCGCCACTTTCCCCATATGCCACCCTGCTCTCCTTGTAACCCTAACTACGACCTGTCGTTGTGGTCCAACCCGGTCTCTCTCTCTAAGCTTCCACGGTCCTTGAGCCCCAGAGACAGCAGCTTACATCTGCCTCGAGACAGTATGGCGTCCTCAAATACCACAGGACCACTGTCCTGCTCTGAACGCAAGCGGCGCAAGCAGAAGGTGAAGGCTCCGTACGGTTGCGGAGGTCCCAAACCCGCACAAGTTCCGGACCGCCTTGCGCAAAAAGTTCTAGCTGACAGCTCAATCTAGTGCAACCGCGAATTTCCCTGCGGACACTGCCTGAAGCGAGGAGCATCCCACCAGTGCAAGTTCGAGTCAAAGCCAGTCAAGCCAAAAGCCGCCAACGACAAGCATTCGCATGATGAGCAACCGAGGTGAGACCCATGACATCGAACCAACCGTGTGGCTATTGACCGTGACTCGACCTTCGCCAGTGTCTCCCGGAAGCGTAGTTTCGACGGCCGGGACAGCGAGATTCTGCCCGACGACAGAGATACGGACGACAATGACTCTTGTTCGGATTTGAACGTGAGCAGTGTCTTGAATGGCATGGGCTACATGTCCCACCATCACCACTTGGTGTTGGGTCAAGGCCATGTATCAACGGTGAGGTGGCCCGCACCGTGGCAGAAGCCGAGAACTACCACCGACTCATGGCCCAACAGGTGGTCGAGGGCACCGCCGAAGACGATGAACAGTCGGACGAGCTGAAAGAAGTTCTACCGCTGGTGCCGGAGAAGCGATACACCGGTGATTCCCCCCACATCTCCCAGTAACGCTCTGGTGTAAGCGGCTGACTAGGGCAGATTGCCTCGTCGACAACTGGCTGAACGGCGCAAACCATCACTATTACGCCCTGTACCCGCCCGGTTTCAGAGCCCAATACGCCGTATGGTGGGCCACATCGCCCAACAAGGTGACAGCGGAACTCACGAGCCTGATCCTGCGCGTCTGCGCTTGCTCTCTCCATTTCATCATCGAAGACAATGTCAGGGCGAGGCTGGAGAAAGAGCTCGACACAGATATCCTGGCCTTCGCCAACCGCCTGCATGCTGCGGCAGAGAAGCTCAGTGCCAGCATTCCGCCTGGAAAAGGCGGACTCGTCCATGTTCAGCAATTGTCCTAACAGCATTCTGGTTCAAGTCAGCGGGAAAGTTCACCGAGGCCTGGCACGCTTTGAGCAAGGCCATCCAAGCGGCAATTGAGATAGGTAGCTCTTCCCTGGCCGACCGAGTTGTTCCGGGCTAAGCTGATGCTGTCCAGGCCTCCACCAAGACTCTTTGCACGGCGGAATGTCGGATTTCGATCGTGAAATGGGAAGGCGTGTATGGGTTATCCTGTACCTTTGGGATTTGTAAGTGCCTTAAGCATCGCCAGCGTCAACCGTTGCACACTAACCTATGTTTTCCAAGCTCGCTGAACTCCTTGATGTTTCGGCCCCGCCTCATCAATCACGCCGACTGCACAGTCGTGATGCCGTCGCAGAGTCTCGAGCCAACCCCGTTCGGTCCCGATCAACCCTGGCAATTCCGCCATATGAACCTGCACTGCCAGCTTTGCATGGACATGGCGCCACAGCTAGGTGGCCGTTTGGATTCAGACGCGGACAAGGCAGACATGGCTAACCGGATGCGGAACGTGGTTGTTACATGGTTCGAAAGGCTCCCAGCCGAATACGCCGTGGAGACGCCAGACACGCGGTGGGATGGCGAGCTGAAATGGGTTGTGTTCCAGCGTCAGTATCTGCACGTGATTGGATATATGTCGTTGTCCAGCCAGCTTAGGCCCTTCATCATGCGAAGCTCGGCGAAGCCAATGTCGCATCTCCAGTTAAGGCTCCGAGAGGCGGGAGTGGACGCTGCGCTGGGTCTCATGAACGCATCGTTGACGCTTTTCGATAACCTGGTATCGTTTGGTCACAAGTCCCCTTGTGCCATCTTATGCCTTTTCAATGCGGCAACCGTCATGTGCGCCGGGTTTCTCCAGGACGAGGCTCGCACCCTTCCGAAGCGAGAGGCGGTTCTGGAAGCGATGAAAAGAGGGTTGGGCATGCTTGCGGCAGCAGCCTCCGAGTCGAAGGAAACGGCAACCCTGTACCGCATTTTGAAAAGACTCCTCGCCGGACTTCCACTGAGCGCCAAGGAAAAAGGAGTGATCGGCGCCTCAAAACGGGTGAAGGACGAGAGGACGACTTCGCCAAGCGACAAAGTCACAGTTGACATATCACAAAGCAAGTGCGCTATAAAGAGTGCTTCGACGAGAACCCGTCGGCGCCAGGGATCTCAGCCAAGATCTGTCAGCGGCAGCCCCGACAGCGCCTCGGCGCTGGGCTCGTCGAATTGCCAGCCATGCAGCAAACGGTCGGCGGTGTCGTTGCCGGATAGCTGTCGACCCTTAGACGCGCAGGCGCCGTCAAATGGTCAAGCAGGGCCGAGTCCTGTCGTTCCATTAAATGGTGTCGTGCAGGTGGGTGGCCATCCTTCTTGTAGCACCTTCGTACCGTCGACCCCCATCAATCCGACATATCCGGGCACGACGGAAAGTTTGCCGGCCACCGGCTCCAGGTCGACGACCGGTTTTATGGCATCAGACGGATACCCCCGTTCCCAAGCATTCGTGAGAACGGCTGGTTTCCAATACACCTCGACAGTGGGCACCGTGGATGCGGTTCCCTTCATGCAGTCCGGTTGGCAGTCATCTTGGTTGGCCATGAACGGCCTGGGCAATGATGTTCAGACATACCAGGCTGTCAACCTCTCCGGGTTCGACAACGCGGCGCTCGAGACGCTCCGCTGCTGGGAAATAAGGTCAGGATCCCTTGGGCCCGATGCACCCAGATCATGGGGACAATCCTCTGCCTATGTGCCAGACCAAGGCGCGGTTGGGTACCATCCCGGGCTTCCTGGGGACTTCAACGGGCGGATATTCGAGATGAACGAGCGTGGGCAGAGCTTAAGCATCGACGATCCATCGGAGAGGACTGATGAGGGCTCGTTTCAAAGGGCCATCGTGTCCTGGCTTAGATCGTATTGTTCAAGTGCGTAGGAAGATGGGTCATATTGGCGTTGTTTTGCGTTTGCCTCGATCTGGCTGTGAATGTGTGGTTCTGAAATCAGAAACCAGTGAGGCCCCGGTTCCCAGAGAATGCTGAACGACTGTGCTCTTATATTTGGTAGTGCCTGCAGCTGTGTTACCTCATCCTACATTGTGTTGTCCGACCCAACTCAAAGAGAAGTGCTGTTACACACAACGGAAGCAAACATCGTAAGAAGGGCCATCCCTGAATCTGGATTTATTGGCCAGTAATGGGACGAGATTTCATGAACTGGCTTGAAACACGTTTCGGCAGATACCCCCCACGTAGGTAGGCTCAATTCTGTAGGGGTGTTGTTTTGTGGCTTTCGATCGGGAACATTAGGCGGGCAGAGTTTTACACTTAGCAATGTGATCTGAGTGCTGTGGGTACGGAAGCCGGTACGGATTAGTGTCATTCGGAAACTTACCACTAGACCACTATATACGCTCACGCTCAACAAGGAACTAACTACTATTATAGTAGCAGCCCCTCAATAAGTTCAAGTACCTTAGCTTTCCCAATCTTCAAGTACTAGATATAAAGCACTATAACTAATAGTGTGATGCAATTAACCATTGAGGTGCACTATAATTCATTATTAAAATGAATTGACAGTTGCGATGAACTGACGGTTGAGGTATACTATAATTAACTATGTCGTTCGTGATGAACTGTAATTGATAGCCGCAATGGAATGATGGCATTTAAATGCCCTGCAGTTTAATGGCTATAATGAACCGACAGTTTTACTTTTAGAGGTACCTACGTATAGGAGATAGATAAGATAGACAAGTCCGCTTTCTGTTAGATACTAACTTACTATGGCCAGCCTACTCCATTGATGATTCACACAATGGTTTTGCGGTGTTGATGCACAAACCACTTTGAGGGTGCTTTGGTGGTTTATTTTCCGAACGTCACTACCGCCTTTCGTAGTGGGTCCGAAGCATCTCGGACCGGATGCTGTGGGTCGCACTTGCCGATGGCCAACACACCGAAGCGCAGAACGACCGGAGCTCATCGGATGGAACTGTGTTCAGACCCGACCTAATTTGTAGCTGAATTGTATTTGGGCGCTACATTCCGGAGCAAAAATAGCCGATTCGACCAACCGCCAAAGGGCCTACTGAGACGAGCGAGTTTCCAGGTTGGCAGTTCGGGTGCCTGGTTCGCGGTCCGCCGCTCAAGAAAGACTCAGGTACCTGAATTCTGGCGTTCTGGCCCAGTCGCGGCTTACGTCGGCCCTGGTATCTAAGGTAATGGAGGGGCACGCAAATCGGCTCCGACAAAGAGTCCTGCCGACGATAGAAGGGTGGAGGACCTGTGCAACATGCTCTCCACCCCGCGTTTCGTTCCTTTCGCAGTTGAACTGGTTAGGAAAAGGCCGTTATTGTCGACCACTCTCCCACCGATACCGTCGGGCCTTGTCTGGGACTTCAGTTCTACAAGCTTCCAACATGTGGTTGGCAAATGAGACCACGGCCGAAAAATCGGATACTCCGATGCACAATGCCTGGATCGGCAGTGCCGGAGCCGCCGGCTACGATCTCAGGAGTCAGTCTGGGTGAGTCCCCGATCTTCAGGTTGCCCCTAACTAACCTATGGGCAGGCGACACCATGACCACTCCGACGCCATCTATGCTGGCCGCAATCCAGTCTTGCACCCTGTTGGATGATGTTTTCCAGGAGGACCACACGACAATCGACCTGGAGAGTCATTGTGCCTCCCTGACCGGCAAGGAAGCCGGGCTTTTTGTACTCTCGGGCACCATGGGGAACCAGCTGGCTTTGAGGTCGCTGCTGACACAACCTCCCCACGGAGTGCTGTGCGACTACCGTTCCCACATTGTGAAATATGAGGCTGGAGGGTGAGATCCAGTTGAGAGCCTTCCACGGTCCCTATCGGAGCGGTTTGCTGACCCTTCCCCAGCGTCGCCACCCTGACGGGTGCCTTGGTCAAAACGGTCGTGCCGAAGAACGGTGTTTATTTGACTCTGGAAGACGTCAAGGCCAACGTCTATCTTGACGACGACGTGCATACGTGCCCAACCCGCGTCATCAGCTTGGAGAACACGCTCAATGGCATGGTCATGCCGCTTGAAGAGGTCCGACGCATTTCGTCCTTTGCTCGCGAGCACGGCATCAAGATGCACTGCGATGGCGCGAGGCTTTGGGAAGTGGCGGCCTCGGGCGCCGGCAGCCTCGTTGAGTTTGCCTCCTGCTTCGACACGGTGACCCTCTGCTTCTCGAAGGGCCTCGGCGCCCCGATTGGAAGCATTCTGGTGGGCGGCAAGGACGTGATCAAGCATGCTCGCTGGGTGAGGAAGTCAATCGGCGGCGGGCTGCGCCAGTCAGGCGTCGTTACAGCCCCAGCCCGTGTGGCTGTCGACGAGACGTTCGGAAAGGGCCCCAATGGCGAGGGTGGCCTGCTGCGCAACACGCATATCCTTGCGCAAGAGGTGGCCAAGATGTGGACAGCTTTGGGCGGCAAGCTTGTCCATCCTGTGCATACCAACATGGTTTGGATCGACCTGGAGGAGGCTCGCTGTCCGGCTGCCAGGTTTGAGCAGCTCGGAAAGGAAGCTGGCCTCAAGCTCATGGGCGGTAGACTGGTAACTCACTACCAGATCTACCAGAACCGGGACTTCGTCATCCCAAAACTAGCAGGCATCTTCAAGGCAGCACTGCAGGGTAAGGCCGAGGGTGGTGCGACATATACAAACAGAGACGGGGAGGCGTCTTTGTACCGGTCACAATAGATCAATTCACACCAATGTACAATCACCTCGAGCGTTAATTATGGGCTTTGCGTCCTATCGTTATAATGCCGTTGTGCCGTTGGTATCCAGCTTTGTAGCCTCTCAGTCTCGTCATAATGCGAATAACCCGGGATGATCGACATTTGCGGGCTAATGCTTACCCGGTTCATTGGGCCTTGAAAAGTCCATTCGCTTGAGTAAGGTAGCTGCTATCATAGCAGCTGACAAGGCAGCACCTAACCTCCCGGCCCGACTTGGTATGTCAGGAAACTGCCTCAACCAAGGCATACACAGAGCCAAGCGAAATATTGACCCACCACTGAAATCGAACCCAGCATTTGGTCTTGGTGGAATGCCGAGTTCATCCCAACTTTTGCTTCGCAAAAATCTGTGCAAGCGCAGGCACATGACCACTGTTAGATCGTCACCATTGAAGTGCCTGATGGATGGGATAGGAAGCGGCCTACACCCGGGTGGGAAAGTTGAAAATGGCCCCGCATTGCCCCTGCAATGCACCCGCGAACTCCGCACCAAGCCTCCCTGACGTCACCGTAAATCCGGGGAACTGACGAATCGCGGCGCTAGAATCGGGGCTATTCCGGGGAAATTGGCGGGATATGAAGCTTCAACCACCAAATTTTTCTGGAATATGGAGGCGATACAGCAGGGCATCATGAGCATCTGCGTCGGTGAGAGCACGAGTTGTGCAAGAGACACGCAGCAAGAAATGGATGCCTCCCTCATGCGTGTCCGGGACGGCTGAAACCTCTTTGTGTGCGCCCTTCAACTGGAATGAAGCTCGAGTAGTAGGTTGAACCCGGCGAGCTTTGCTTCTCTCCTTCGAATGCGTCCATCCCCGGTTAGAGAAGGAACGATAATGATCAAGTTCGGTCAAGCCAACTGGGTCTACCCAGCTCGTGAACCGGGAGGCCGAGCTTAGATCCGGCGTGACCCCTCTTACGTACGTACCAAGTTGCAGGATGCTGCAAGCAGGGTTGTACCAAACTTGGAGTTGACCGTGAGAAGCTCGCGAGAAGTTCATCTCCTGCCAAAAACGTGGAGCTATGCGAGGGCCAGAAAGTTCCAATTCGCCATCAGTCGTTGGTTTCCCTCATTCCCTCATGTTTATTTGACTGGGAACGTGCCTTCCCTCGCTTCAATTGTCTTACCTTCCAGCTCCTGCCTTTCTTACTCTCCGCCCTTAGTTTTTTCAGTGTCTCGACCACTTCAACAACCTCACCTTACTACCTTAAACCCGGCTTCGCCAAGGTAGACCTACCCATCCTAGGTCAGTCTACTGCTCTTGCTTGCACCATCGCGTGCCGGGCCCTTCACAATGGCACGACGTCTTGCGACGGCAGCACTCGTTGCTGGCCTCGCCTCGAACACCGCTGCGATTTACATCAATGGCTCCGTCACAGCCCCGTGTGACTCGCCGCTGTATTGCCACGGCGAAATCCTGCATGCGATTGAGCTTGCGCGGCCGTTTGTGGATTCCAAGACATTCGTGGACATGTAAGTCACTGGCATGGGTAGATCCGCGGTGAGACACGGACTGACCTGGATTCCTGCCTAGGCCAACGATCAAGCCTTTGGACGAGGTGATTGCCGCGTTTAACCGGCTGAGCCAGCCAGTGGCCAACAATTCCGAGCTCAATGCCTTCCTGGCCGAGAACTTTGCCCCGGCCGGCGGCGAGCTCGAAGAAGTTCCCAGAGAAGAGCTTGAGACGGATCCCAAGTTCCTGGACAAGATCGAGGATGCCACCATCAAAGAATTCGTCACCAAGGTGATCGACATCTGGCCGGAACTGACCAGGCGCTATGTCGGCGCCGGCAACTGCTCCGGGTGCGTCGACAGCTTCATCCCCGTCCCTGCGAACCGCACCTTTGTGATTGCGGGCGGCCGCTTCCGCGAGTTCTTCTACTGGGACTCGTACTGGATATTCGAGGGCCTTCTCCGCACCGGGGGCGCCTATACTCAGATCACCAAGAACATGCTCGAGAACTTCTTCGACCTAGTCGAGACAATCGGCTTCGTTCCCAACGGGGCGAGGCTCTACTTCCTGAACAGGTCACAGCCACCGTTGCTCTCGGGGATGGTCAAAATGTACGTCGACTACACCAACGACACAAGTATCCTCGAGAGGGCCCTGCCACTCCTGATCAAGGAGCACGAGTTCTGGATCACCAACCGAAGTGTGTCCATCACGGCTGCGGACGGGAAGCAGTACACTCTGAACAGGTAAGCTACTGCGGCCATTGAAGTGTCATCGCTCGACCCTAATGTTTGTGAAACAGATACTCCGTCGACAACAACCAGCCCCGCCCGGAGTCGTACCGAGAGGACTACATCACCGCCAACAACGCTTCCTACTACGCGGCATCGGGCATAATATACCCCGTCAAGACGCCGCTCAATGAGACGGAGAAGGCCGAGCTGTACGCCAACCTGGCCAGCGGTGCCGAGTCCGGCTGGGATTATACGGCTCGGTGGCTGAAGAACCCCCACGATGCAGCGAAGGATGTCTACTTCCCGCTCCGCTCCATCAATGTACGCGGTATGGTCCCGGTTGACCTCAACTCGATTCTGTACCAAAACGAAGTCATCATCGCCGAGTACCTCGAGCAGGCTGGTAACAGCAGCGAAGCTGAGCGATTCGCCTCCATGGCCCAGCAGCGCAGCGAGGCCATGTATGCGCTGATGTGGAATGCAACCCATTGGTCCTACTTCGACTACAACCTCACTAGCAACACCCAACGCATCTTCGTTCCGCTCGACGACGACTCAACCACAACCGAGCAGGCTAATTCGCCGCCGGGGCACCAAGTCCTCTTCGACATCGCCCAGCTCTACCCCTTCTGGACGGGTGCGGCCCCAGATAGCCTGAAATCCAACCCGCTCGCCGTGCAGCTCGCCTACGCCCGCGTGGCGCGCATGCTCGACACCAAGGCGGGCGCCATCCCCGCGACAAACTTCCGCACCGGCCAGCAATGGGACCAGCCCAACGTCTGGCCGCCACTTCAGCACGTGCTCATGCAAGGCTTGCTCAACACGCCAGCCACGTTTGGCGAGTCGGACCCGGCCTACCAGAGCGTGCAAAACCTGGCCGTCCGCCTCGCGCAGCGCTACCTCGACTCCACCTTTTGCACGTGGTACGCCACGGGCGGTTCGACCAGCGAGATGCCGCAGCTGCAGGGCGTCAGCCCGGACGCGACGGGTACCATGTTTGAGAAGTATGCCGACAACGCGACGAACGTGGCGGGCGGCGGCGGCGAGTATGAGGTGGTGGAGGGGTTCGGGTGGACGAATGGCGTACTGATCTGGGCTGCCGACGTGTTTGCCGGCAAGCTGAAGAAGCCTGACTGCGGCAACATCACTGCCGCGCACACCCACTCTGGCGAGAAGAGGGGGCTGGAGAGGAGGGCTGTAGAGCTTGATCCGTACGATTTTGCGTGGACGAAGATGTTTGGGAAGAGTAAGCTGAAGAAGAGGGAGGATGGGCGGAAGCGGTGGTTGAGTTGAGTTGTTGGTTGAGTTGAGGGAGGTGTGGTGCATGATGAATGATTGCTTTTATGGTAGCTTTTAGTGCATAGTGTCTTCTTTTGATATTGTAAAGCCGCGGTTTGTGTCAGTAGCCCGGCTGTCTCTGCATCCGTTGGGCTGCCTGGGCATGAACTGGGGTGCATGACACCTAATGACCCCTTGATCGTTCGTGTACTGTGGTTCCCTCGCCCAGCATCCTCAAGAGATGAACGAGATGTGGGGATGGTATGATATATTCTTGACTTCCAGAGTGCTATTGCCCCTCGGGGTCTGTGTTATGCAATCGGCAGAATCAGGTACCTTACCAGAATGACGCCCCCGTGTGACTGACTTCCAAGAACCCTGCAACCCTTCTCATAAAATTCGCTCCTCAACGCCAAACCTTAACCAACCACTTCGCGTCCCAACGCCAATGACATTGCCATCAGAATATCCGCCAGCTCCTGCGGCCCCACCTCATTCCATCGCAACCCATGTTTAACTACCCTTGACCCGCCAACCGCCCCCATTGGATAGCCTGCCCCGGCGCCGCGTGATCATTTGCGACCCGACATCCTCACCAACCGCATCCGCAGCTTCATCAACCGGTGCCACAGCAGGAACAGCAACCCCACCATCCGTCGCCTCCTTGCCTTTCTTCATCTGCTTCCTCGACCGGTTCGCAAGGGACCCTTCCTAAGAGTTCTCGAGGTGCGACCACTCCGGGATGGCGCGGATCTGCTGCCACATAAACTTTTCGAGCTTGTTGGCCGACTTGGCGTAGGGCGTTGTCTCGTTGTTGTACTTGCGGCAGTTGTCAAAGACGAGCTTGGCGTCGCGGATGAAGTCCTCGGGCGTGTTGTACTGGTCCGCCTCGAGCTTAGTCTCCATGGTCGAGAGGTCCATGGGTTCCTTGATTACGTCGTAGTAATCGAGCACCTCGTCCTTATTGACGGGCACCAGGAAGGGCCAGCTGGACGGGTGGTTTTGGAGGTCGTTGAGCAGGTGCAGGAGCTGGTTGTAATTCGGTCCGTGACGTGGTTGGCGCGCGAGCTCGTCCATGTCCGGCGACCAACCTGAGGCGCGGATCGCTTCGATGGAGAGCGGGTCAATCGGGGAAACGCCATTCTTTTGCCATTGTTTTGGAGGCTGGTGGACGATGTGGGATTTGGAGAAGGCCCGGATCTTAGCCTGGACGCATTCTTTTTGCTTAAGGAGCATCCGGCCCATCTCGAGGTAGCGGATCCGCGGGAGCATAGTACACTGCATTATCGTGCCTCCTTCGTAATCCTTGATATAGCCCATCCAGACGGATTTGTCGAGCGTAATCTCCTTAGTAAAGCCCTGCTTCTTAAAGTAGCCGATAGCGTAGTTGTCGGCGTATGTCAGGAAGTGCATCACATCCGAGGTTGCCTTGACGTAGTCTTTGAGGTGGGACATGAGGTGGGCGCCGTAGCCCTTGACCTGCTGGTCGGAGGAGATGGCGCAAAAGACAATCTCGGCAAACTGGCGCCCCTTAAATGGCCGGTATGTGATGCCGCCGACCACTTCGAGCGGCTTCTTGACGATGGCGATAGACAAGTGGGTGCGGTCGTAGACTAGGCGGGCGATGTAGTCCTTTGGCATCTTAGGTAGTTGTTTCTGGAAGATACATTTGAGACCGGTGAGGATGATGAGACTCTCGCGCTCGCCGTCGTTGTTGACCACCCGAAACTCGATCTCGCCATTGCGCTCTTCGATAACGGCAGGCTGAAGATGGGGCTGTTAGTTGGGTGTCGCATGTGGTTGCGTGTTGAGGTAAGCGGTGGCTGCTCACTTTCTCGGGAAACGGAATTGCTGGGACTTTTGCGGGCTTCTCCTCAGGTTCGGCCGAGTTGTCGTGCTTAACACGTTTGGATGCGACAGGCGACGACGGCTCGTCACTGGCCTTGCGCTTCCCATCTGGGAGGGTTTGCGTCAGAAAGATCTCTTCTAGCGAAAGCAAATAAAGTACGCCAACGCCTCCAGCTTACTCTCGTCCTTCATTTTGATGGAGTATGGCGATTCTTTGATGTCTACGTGACGTGTTGATGTCTTGTCGACGTCGACGAGCATGGGGAGAGGCGTGGACCCACTCGTCCGTCCCCAAGTTGTCCCGGGGTAATCGGGCGATGATACCAGCCCTAACCCTAGCAACAACCGCTTGACGGCTGATCGGATAGGCGATACCAGGGCCCCGACGAGTGATTGAGGTTTGATAAATGAAGAATGTGAGATGGGCTGCCACAGGAGGAGCGTTAGCCGTTGAGATCTGTCGACATAGAAGAACAGTAAAGCGGAAACAGCGGGCAGTCCATTGACAACATGCCGAGATATGGAAGGGGTCGATTTCGACCCGATCAAGCTGGAAAGGAGGTATATTCTAGCTCTTAGCTGTCCTGCTTAGCTGTCCTGTGTGCGGCGACAACCAGACGGAAAGGGGAGTTGGGATGAGGTGAGGAAGCGTTTGTTTTTCTCTTAATGGTGGCGGAGTGCCTGATGGACTGCTATGTTGCGCCCAGAGCTGCCAGAGTTCTGGAAAGAGCGCAAGAGCTGGCCGTTCCAAGCCAAGGGGCGTTGCCAATTCTGTTTTTGAGCTAGGGACCGCAGATATCACCGCAACGCAAAGCGTTAGTCCCGAACAGTCTCACCCTAGATATCTTTTAGCTATACAGTATAGAGCGCGGCCGCCCAAACACCACATCCACCATTCTGACTCTTCTCTCCAGACTTACACCAGCACCATACAAAGGGCACCCACCAAGGGACAAAAGGGAAAGAGGCTGGATAGAACCGCACAAGGGATATATTCCGGCAGCCGTAATTAGGGGTACTGTTTACAAGATACACCTTGCGACTTGACCTGCTCCTCCCATCCAACACCCAACCGCCCCCAAACTATGCAGTCCAGATGCGCTTGATGGCCTCGGTGATGCCCACATCGGTGGTCTCGAACTCGTAGAGCGCCAAGCCGACGACGGCGGTGGCGGCGTTGAGGCCCCACATGAAGAGCTTGCGCGCCCGCGGCGTCCTGTACGCGGGGACGTAGTCGATGATGATGTTCTGGAAGCCGGTGTGCGAGTGGATGAGGATGGTGGCGCAGAGGAGGGCGTCGAGCGTTGGGTTGAGCGAGCCGGCCGCGAAAGGGGCAACGGTGAGCGGGATCAGGGACCCGGCCACCAGCCGGTCAAAGGTCCAGTGGTAGGACCCGTGGGACGGTGACGTAGGCGGCACAGGGGCGGCGTCGTTTACTACATATCGGCAGGTTCTCGGTCAGAGTGTTCGGGGAGCGTATGTGCTAGGCTGTCCATGCCGGCGATGGTCACGGGCCCGGCGGCGGGGAGAAGTCGCTCATACCTGTGCCTTGGACGCGCTCTGTTCGGCCGGTCAGCATCTGCTCGTTCACTGCCAAGGGAGAGTGAAACGGGGATACGTACGGGGAAGAGGGGGGAGGATGTCCCTCCGGGCGGTGGTGTGGAAGGCGCTTGCGCGGGCGGCATTGGCGATGACGCTATGTTGAGAGGCCAGCCGGGCCGAAGCAACCTGCCGCAGCAGCGAGGAGCGAGCAATCGATGCCATTGTGTCTTGCGGTGCGCACTCAATTGGTTACAGCCGCGCTGGGTCGTTGACTGCTCCGGGGCTGACTGTTGGGACCGATGAAAGCGACGACAACGGGACAACGGGACAACGGTGAGGACCGCGAAATGGTTGCCGAAACAGCGTGCTGCTGATTCCTCGGCAATCGGAACCTGCATCTACCAATCGCCTTGTCGTCGAAGTCAGCCGAAGCTCCGTGGCCCCACCAAGAATACGGAAACGCTTTCAGCGGAAATTGTGGGCCTGTGACTCTTGGCGTCAATTCCTGGCCCAAAATATTGGGGAGCATCACGGGTTCCAACGCGCATTCGATACAACTACTCCGTACTATAGCGACCATCGCGGCAGGGCCACTACCTCCATCACACGACCCCGCGACGGCTTGGGCGACTCTCCTTCATATCATAGGATGCTCACAAGTCTTACCCGACGTTACTCCACCCATTGAGCCACTTGAGCGGCGCAAAAGCGGCAATGGCGCCCTCACTGGCGGTTCCCGGTCTCGTCCGCAGAGGCACTGTCTGCCACAGCTGCCTCTCATCATGCGCTAAAGGTCTTGCGCCCATTCGGCTGAGACACATCTCGACTGGATTTCTGCGGAAGACGGCAGAGGCAGAAGAGCAATGGCAGCAATGGGCGCAGGAAATCAAGGACGGGAAGCGGCCCAATCTCTGGGACATACTGGAGGAACGGGGATATGTCAAGGACACAGCCGGGTATGTATCAGTTCTCCGTTACGACCAACGTGAGAAACGGCTGGATCTGACAACTCTGGCACAGGTCGAAGGACACAATCCGAGAGCTTATGCGGACAAAACGGATAGGTGCTTATGTCGGTGTCGACCCCACTGCGAGCTCGCTACATGTCGGCCATCTCCTTCCTCTTATGCCGCTTTTCTGGATGTACATGCACGGATACGCGGCTTTCACACTGCTCGGCGGTTCGACAGTCAAGATTGGGGATCCCACCGATCGGCTAAAAGATCGGGCCGTCATTGGCAACGCTGACCTGGCCATGAACGTCACCAAGATGCACTATCAGATGAAGAAGCTTTGGACCAATGTCGAAGCGCAAGCTAGGCGGCATGGGTACCAGAAGGAGTGGGCCTGGAAACGGGGGATTGTGAATAACAACACGTGGTGGAACTCGCTTCCCATGCTCGAGGTCTTGAAGAGGGCAGGCAGATATATGCGCGTTGGGCCGATGCTGTCTCGCGACACGTGAGTTTGGACTCATCGATTTGTGCCATCTTCACTGACCCCGATCCAGCGTCAAGCGCAAGATGACGGAAGGCGACGGTGTCTCGTTCGCCGAGTTCTCGTACCCTATCATGCAAGGTTGGGATTGGTGGATGCTCTTCAGCAAGCACAAGGTGCAAATGCAGATTGGCGGCTCGGATCAGTACGGCAACATTATTACCGGCGTCGACATCGTCAAGGCGGTCCGGAACAGCGAGCCAGCTCCTAACCTGCGCATTCCTTGGAAAGGGCCCCTCGACGACCCGGTCGGGTTTACTGTGCCGCTCTTGACAGACTCGTCAGGCGCGAAGTTTGGCAAGAGCGCTGGAAACGCGCTATGGCTTGACCAATTTATGACAAGCGCGTTTGATTTGTACGGATATTTTGTCCGACGACCAGATGCGGACGTTGAGAAACTCCTCAAACTTTTCACTTTTATGCCCATGGAGGAGATTCAGAAGGTCATGACGGAACAGATGGAGGACCCGTCAAAACGAGGGGCCCAGCACCGGCTCGCCTACGAAGTCTTGACATTAGTGCACGGAGAAGACGCAGCGAAGGAAGCACAGCAACAGCACCGCATGATGTACAGCAAAGGTGGTCCGGCAATTCCGAGTGTGATAGGCGAACTCGGTGAGGAATACGAGGCGCCGTCAGGGAAACCGACAACCCCGAATAATGCACCACGGTTCGACATGATACTTCCGGAGTCTCTCATCATGGGCAAGTCGATCGGCCGCATCCTGTTCGCTGCTGGCCTTGTCGAGAGCGCGAGGCAAGGCCACCTTCTCGCCGAGCAACAGGGCGCCTACATTGGCGGCATGCCCGGCCGCAAAGTGGGGCAGGGCCAGCCCATGGACCCGTCACAGTTGACGTGGAACCCCATCAAGCTATGGTTCCCGCAGGAAACGCAAAGATACTTGATTGACGGCAAGCTTCTCATCCTCCGCAAGGGCAAGCACAACGTGCGCATCATCAAGATGGTCAGCGATGAGGAATACAAGGCATCGGGCCAGACATACCCAGGCCAGCCGTACACGGGACGTCTCCGGCAAATGAAGGAGCTCATGACATTGTTGAAGGCTGGAAAGACAACACCCGCCGAAGTAAGGCAAACGCTACTGAATGAGGCGATGAGGGAAGAGGAGGATGGAGATGAGTCGACTCTCAAGTTCCCAAAGGAGAAGAGCGATGTGGAGGTTAAGCTCGAGGCTCAGCTCGAGAGGCTGCTCGAGGAGGCCGAGAGCAAGTTGTAGAAAGATCAGCCGGTGTCGTTCTAGTAACTGTGTGCAGGTGACAGTCAGGACGGGAAAGGAAGCCCGCGAGATCTCCCGCACTTATAAGATAACGAACGATCCGGCGGCGTGCTGTGATGGCAATGCTTGTTCCACATGTGCCATCCCGCTCGTGGTTCGGCCAATACATTATGTATCACACAAAACCATTAGACCTGTACCATCACCTATACAAAACAGTCAAATCTCCCACCGGCGCGGGGAAGCTCTTGAGCTTCTCCATGATCTCGGCATCCGTCAGGTTCTGCTCCGTAATGATCTGGTCAAACGTATGACACCCGTCCGTGTACTTTTGCAGCGGATCGCCGCCCGCCACGGGCCTCGCCTGGCCCGTCGCCAGCGCCGCCAGGTACTGCTTGGACACGACGTATTTGTGCACTCGGTACAGGCACCCCTTTATCACGCCAAACTGCACCAGCCGCCGCACGTCGACGAACCGCAGCACGTCGAACCCGGAGTCCATGTGGCCCTTAAGCCACTCCATGACCGTCTTGCCGACGCAAAAGGTCGTCATCAGCTTGATGAGCATGTAGTTGGAGACGCGGTGGCCGTGAATAGCGCCGTTCCGGCTGACGTCCTCGGCGCCGCCGTAATCGTCGTCGTCGTCGCCCTGTCCGGTTCCTGGATCCCCTCCTCCGGCTCCTCCTCGGCCTGATCCACCCGCTTGTCCGCTGTTGGGGCTGACGCAGACGTAATTGGCACACTCGTCGATCATGCCTCCGACGTTAGCGATGAAGTCGTGGATCCCCGGCCGCGGCGCGTAGCAAGCGCCGAAGAAGAACATGTCGAGCAGCAAGATGGTGTCGTAGTAAAGCAGGTGGCGGAGGGCGAGCTGCGTCAGATCGAGCGAAACGTCGGCGAGGAAGGCGATGCGGCGCACGTCGGAGACGCCGTCGATGTGGGCGATGACGCGCTGCAGGGTCAGGTCCCAGGTGGGGTCGACTATGTCGGCGAACTTCATCTTTGCGACGGGCACGTGCCAGCCTCTGACCTCGGGCGGCGTGGGGTGGTGCGGGAAGAGCTTCATGTTGATTGTGTTGGCGTCGTCGACGGGGATCATGCACTCGCCGTAGTTGTTTAGGTCCTCCTTGATAATCTCGAGCAGCGACTCGATCGGCCGTCTGGCTTGATTCTCGGCTGTGTCTACGTCTTGGCTGAGATAGCCGCTCTGCTTCTCCATCTCGGCAAACGTGACGGCCAGCCTGCGCACGACGCGCTCGTAGGGAACCTGGTCGACGTCGTTCTCAACGACCAGGCCAAAGTTGAAGATGAACTCGTTGCGGTAGTAGCGGGGGCTGGGAATGGAGACGGGAAAGCCGAGGATAGAGTACTTGCCCTCCGGGTCGGTAACGGTAATGTAGCGGTTACGGAAGGCCTCCTTCGGGATAATGTACTCCTGCAGCACGCTGTAGTCGAGCAGCGGCGGCTTGGTGGTGGTGACGCCAGGAACGGGGACAATGCATCCTGGTGGGCTCTGGGCTACAATCTTTGTCCCTGTTTTGTATTAGCGGTGTCTATGTATTAGACTTGTTGGCTATGATACCTTCTTCAGGGAAGAAGCGGGCATAGAATATTCCCTGGATCATGGTGGCAGTGGTCTCACTGGTGTCTCGGTGGTTTTCATGTCGCTGAACTCGATCATCGACATTCACCCACAATGTGATTCCATCAGGAGTGTTCTCGGCAAAGTGGCGAGCGATGTTGCGGGACCCAAGCCGGGGCCTCGAGTTTGCGCCGGTTTAGGAGAGGTTGATGACTTGGAGGATGATCTTGGTTCGTCCAGGTCGGAAGAACGCGATGAATGTATCGTACATTACCCTAACCCTGACCGAGGTAGGCCAACGACGATCACCTACGCTGAACTGGCCTCTGATGGCCCAAGAGACGCCAAAGTTGGTTGGACGGTGGCATATCTATCAGATGGAAATGATGTTTTCTCTTTCTTTCAAGCCAAGCGGAATCCTCGAACTTCAAAATTATTGAGAGACAATTTATTGCAAGACAACGAATGTACAATGTATGATTTTATGCTTTCCTATCGTACCAACATACATCATTAGGCGTATGCACGTCTCATCCACCATTACGAGCGACCTGAGACTGAAACCCCTCTCTATATATTGATCCAAACCCGTAATACCGTCTAAAAGACCATCCCCTTGGTCTGCTTGCCCTGCTCAGCCTCCAGCTTCTTGACGTTGATGTTCTTCCAGATCCAGATGGAGGCAACGCAAAGAGGGATGAAACAAGCACCGGTAGTGACCATCAAGCGCTGAGAGTGGGCGTATGCGCCAACGACAGCGGCCCGCTCGGGAGTGCCGTCAGCGAAGGACATCTGCACCGTGATGCTACCGAAGATGGTAGCAGCCTGGTCCTTGGAGCCCTCGGGAAGGAGCTCGTGCAGCTTTGCCGGGGTGATGTTGTTCCACATGGCGCCGGCGATCGAATAGCCAATGGAAGAACCAAAGCCACCGAAGAGACCCCAGAGCGCGTTGACGGCGGCAATCTGCTGGTGAGAAACAGGCGCCATGACGGCGAGCTGGCCACAGGTAGCGAAGATACCAGTTCCGAGACCAACAAGCACTTGGGTAAGAGCCAAGACACCGACAGGAGAGTCGGGCTGTCGGAAAGGGATCAACAAAGCGGTTCCGATGAGGGTGATGGGTACACCAGTCATGGCGATCCATTTGAAGTTGCCGGTGTAGCTGATGAGCATTCCGATGAGAGGACCAAAGACAGACGAGGTCAGGGAGAAGGAGTTGAGAATGTAGCCGGCGTGTTCGATGCTCTGCCTGTGCACAACCTGCAAGTACGAGTTGTACATGGCGTTCCAGCAGAAGACGGAGAGGAACATGACACTGTAGAGGATACAAGAACCAACAATTGTGGGCTCCTTGAGGTACTTCCACGGAAGGAATGGAACGGGCGCCAGGTACCTCTCGTAACAGACGAAAGTTGGGAAGAGCAGGATACCGAGGACGATCATGGCGATGATGTAAGGAGTCTTCCACTGCTGGGGGGCGTAGGCTGAGAGGGTGAACGGCAGCATGAAGAGGCAAAAGGCAGCCATGATCAGAATGATACCGAGAACTTTTGAAAAGTCAGTACAATGCATTGAGTGCAGGAATGATAGGGCTTACTATCAAATTCAATAGCGTAGTGGGCAATGGACTGGATGACGTTTCGGCCGGACCGCTGCTTCTGAGCATAACCGGACTTGCGGGCCTTGCGGTACATGTAGAGCATGACAGCCATCGCAGGAACACTGCAAGCGACGAGAATGATGATGAAGGCTCCAAAGGCCCATCGCCAGCCGGGGCCGTTGTAGAACTTTGCAACGAGCTCGGGTCCAGCAAAAGTGGCGGCAATCCTAGGGGTCTGGTTGATACCGAAGATGATCATGCGGTTCTTGAGAGACGTGATATCGGCGCACATGACATCGATGACATACAGCAGACCGATGTGGCCAGTCCAGTAGAGGATGTGGCCGCCAATGTATGATTGGACGTCGGTGCAAACAGCCTTGGCGATCATGCCGAGAACACAGATTAGAAGCATCAGACAGAAGCCTTCGACGCGACCCCAGAGATCGATAACTTTGGCCATGGTAAGAGGAACGCAGCCACCAAGCGCTGTGGAGATGACGGTTCCGACGGTGAGCAAGCCATGGGATCCGAAAGCTGAGGTGATGTACGGGTTGAGACCAGAATCGATGTAATTTTGCAGCATGTCGACGAAATGAATCAGGTACAGCCTGAAATTGTTAAAACGTGCCCCTAAGCATGATTGACAGATATTTGCTTACAGAACAAACATGCTAATGAGCGTGGTCTTGCTCCAAATGCTCGTGATGACCCGGACGCGCTCAACGCCCCTCTGGAAACCCTGGACTTTCTCGCCATCGATGTCCACCTCATTGGTGTCCGGGTCAGCGACGATAGACCCGGTGCCGTGACCGACATTCTTCTCCGCGTCGAGCTCCGTGGGGGATGGCTCGATGCCAGCCGTGGGCTGTGGGCCACCAGCAGTGAGACTCATGGTAAACGTGAGCAGCCAAAGCTCAATAAGCTAACTTGTGCAGAAGCTATTGGTCTTGAGGACAGCGGGCGGAAAGTAAAAGGGTTGCGTTAGCTGGTGTTATATATATACCTAAGCACCCGCGCACTGGAAGCGCCATATTGATGGAGATTCGCCCCTGCCAACGCGTCGACTGCCGGACAACGGAGGTAATAAGTGTGTGAGAAAATTTGCGTCCCGTGTCACTGGCCCCCACGAGACTTTTGAAGGATTTCTCAACGATAGCGTGGCCCAGCAGCCTCTCATTGCTCGATGATCTGATAAGATGGAGCGCCCAGACACTTGATGATCAGATAAGATCCATCTCCGCCCCGAATGTCCAATCATGCCACGAGCACCTGCGGGGCAAAGCGCCATGGTTTCGGACAGAGCCACCATGTTGGGAAGGCCAAGAGTACGGATCCGTACGGCAGGCTACCTAGGCCTTGGTTTGGTACGGCGAGGTTCTCAAAAAGGCCTTGGTAATACCAAGAACACTGAAAAACTTGGTCGGTCATTTCTCGGCCTCAGAATCCTTCGGGTTTGCGGTGAGCAAATGTCGGGGTTTCCAGGAGATCGATTGTCTGGATTCCTGCAAGACCGTGAGGCGGCCTTGACACAACGCAGAGAAGCAGAGAGTGCAACGAGGTCTTGCATCGCTGACGCTGAATGAAAATGACGGAGGTCCAAGCCGACTTCAACTGCGAGCTACACAGCCTATGCTACGTTTAGAATATATCAGCCAGCCGGAGCCGCTGGATCGCAGGCTGGAGACTCTTCAAGTCTGACTTCGGGATGTTGGCAAGCCAGCAAATCTGAAAAGACCTTCATCTCGTAGAATGGTAAAATATTCCACAGTCTCAATTACGCACATAGATGAAATAGCATAATTTTACCGACCAATCTTCGAGGACTTTAAACAGCATACATATGCCATCACCCATCGACGCCGCCAGTAGGCGTAATATCCCGCTTGCCAAACCTCGACCCCAGCCCACCAAGATCCCGCCTAAAGAACTTGCCAATATTCTTCAGATTCTCGTTAATCGTCGCCTTCTCTCCCTGGGCACCACCAACGCCGACACTGCCACCCAACCCGGGCGTCGCCGCCGCTGTCGTGCCCATCCTTTCCACCCCATCCCTCGCCGCATTGAACAACTTCTCCCCCAGAGCCGCCGCGTCAAACCTGCCCGGCAACCCTGCACTCGCAACTACCGCGGCAGCAGCGCTGTTCCCGACAACCCCAGCACTCCCGACCAGACCTCCCCCAGCAGCCGAAGCAGAAGACAACGACGGCCCCGCCAGCAGCGGCGTAAGCAGGGGCGACCTCTCCATCAACTGGATCGCGCCCGAAGCCGAGGCGCTCTCGCGGTGTATGGCGAACAGTTCCAGTAGGTGGGCGTGGTCCTGCTTGCGCACGCCCTTGAGCTCGAGGACCTTGCGGAAGTTTGTCTCGGAGCGGTCGCCGATGTGAATCAGGTAGGCCTGCACGAGCCCTTCCGGCGGCGACGGGCGTACCTGCAGCGTCTTGAGGAGCGGGTCGATGCGCGTCATGGATTGGTTGACGCGTTTGACGAAGCCTGCGGGCGGTGGGTGATGCGGCGTTGAGGGGGCGGAAGAAGAAGGGCCGGCTGTGGTGATGGTGCTGCTGCTGCTGGTGGTGATGGTGGCGGCGGCGTTGCTGTTGTGGTAGGAGAGGAGGTTTTCGAAGGATTTGGTGAGAACATACTTGTCCAGGAGCATCTGTTCAGCGCCGACTTCGCAGACGGGGCGGCACTGGACGACGTTGTTGATGTAGGCGACGGCCAGGTGCTCGACCAGGTTGTCGCAGAAGGCGCGGGCGTATTGTGGTTTGATCACAAGCGGGAGAATCTCCTGGGCCTTGCCGTTTACGTGCCTGAGAAGCTCACCGACGTACGAGCTGTGGTCGCTGACGCTCTCCATGCGGCTCCAGTTGGTGTTCCTCATCTCGCGCCACGCGCCTTCGCAATCTAGCTCGACCTTGGCTACAAGGGACATGACGGCCGCACTAGCGACGCCCATGAAAGCGTCCGACTGTGACGACAGGTCCACCTTGGATGCCATATCGGGGTCGATGCGCTTTTTGATGCTCTCTTCCAGCTGGTTCGTGTTGGTGTGCCAGAAGTCGGCCGTGTTCAGGACAAGAACGATGTCTTTCAAAGGGACGCCTTGTGGCCCGCCACGCTGCAGGAAGGCGACGAGGACTTGCTGCGCATACTCGTCGAGGTACTTTGCCAACGTCTTGCTGAGGTCAAGCAGCCGCTCTCCTGTTGACAACTTGGCGCATTGTGAAAGAGTTAGCTTGTAGAAGTGGAAAAGCTCAATGGCTGATGGGATGACGGCTTGCGGTGAAAACTCTTCATCTGGGGGTATGAGCGGCTGTGTCTTGTATTTAGGAATCATGGCCGCCAGAGCCCTGTCCTGCGACTCGACCCACAGACTCAAGTATGGCTCGAAGGCAACGGATATGGAACCGTTGAAATTCTGTATCCGGTCATCTGCCGAGCTCAGAGTGTCGATGCTGGCTCGCGGCTCACTCGCGAACCTCCGTTCCAGGCCCTGCTCAAAGTCCATGGTCTCTTGCAAGCAGCTCAGCAACAGGTTCACGTCGAGCTTGGTCCCGTCAATCCTGCGCATGCTCTTCTCGAGGATTCCCTTGAAGTCTTCCCGCGTTCCGTCGCAGAAGGCCATGGCCAAAGTTTCGCTGACGCGCCAGTGCGGCGGGAAAATGACAGCGTGCTCCTCCTCGTGCGTCTTCAGCATGCGCTTGAACCATGCATAGCGTCGCCCGATGTTGTCGAGGCTGCCGGCCTCGTCGTTGCCTCGGAAGACCTGGCGGTACTCGCGAAGCTCCGTGTTGACGTACCACGTCACCAGCCTCGCCTTGGCGTGGTCGCCAAGGGCATCCATAACCAAGCAGGCTTCGACCAAGACGCCACGGCGAGTGGCCACCTCTCCCTTGGCGAAGGCTATCTCGAAGTCCTCGCAGACCTGCTCCAGCAGTTCGCGCTGTAGCTCGCTCACGTTCCGGCTCAGCACGGCAATCTGCTCTATGCTGCGGTAGCTGTTGAAGTGGCGCATCAACTGCAAAACGGCTTGCAGGAGGCCGGCGCACTCCCGGTACTGGCGGGTCCGGGCGAGGCCACGCAGCTGCTCGTAGGCGGTCGTCAGCATCTGCAGCCGCTTCAGGGCCGTCATGCTGAGGGTCAGGTTGCGCTTTGTGCCATCGAGGCGCTTGATGTCGGCGGTCATGGTGGTGATGTCGCGCTCCGTCTGCAGGGCGCGGCTGCGCACGCTCTCGATACGCTGGAAGAGGGAGGCCAGCTCGGCCTGGGCCGACTGCATGCGCTCCAGCGACGAGTCCGGCCCGTAGGCCTGGGCCGTCTCGAGAGATGCGATCGACTGCGAGAGTTCATCTCTATGGCGCTGAATGGTCGACAAGACGCGAGCGACCGACGAGACGGTGGACGGGTGCGAGAAGAGGAGGTTCAGGTGAGCGATCGGGTCGTACTCCACTGCCAGGCCAGGAATATGTCAGTACAATCCGGGTTGGGTTCGTTTTCACGCCATTCAGGGGATTTGGAGGTGCTGGTCTGCGTACCTGAATCAAGCGACAGAGAGTCTGCAATGGCAATGTTCATGGTGACTCGAAGTACCAGGTCTCGCTGTCAAGAGCCCCGAGTAGTTGCTTGACAAACCAGAACCGTTGAAGCTTGTTGTCATACCTGATGCAACAAGAGATCGATGCCAAGTACACGGAGTATTCGTACTCGTACTCCCTAATTCAGCTCCAGAATGCCACGGTAACATGACAGTGCTTAGCCGAATCCGGTGATCAAGTTGACCCCAGATCGTGCGGGCGTTGGACTTTCGAGAAGAAGCCCGGGCATGCAGCGGAGTCCAGCCTGATACTCTTTCTGAGCATGAAGAAGAGGGGCTTCCCAGTCAATCTCACTCTGGAAAGCACGATTTCAAAGTCCGGGCAAGTTTGGGTGTTTCCGAGGTTTAGGGTTGAAACCAACGCGCTGAGCTCCGATAAGAGATCCAGTGCGCTTATCCCATCTGGACACAAACGAACGTCACGCAAGACCACGCGAGTCAACTTGACCATTGTTTGTCAACCCTCGAGTCTACCAACAGCACCACGAAGAATGATGCTGCCACAGACATCATGGACACATCTGCTGCAGCCTCGACGCTTACCAGGCAGCGCCTCAGCGTGGCTGTTTTGTCGCTTGCCGCAACCGCGACGCTGGGCTACTTTTGCTACCGCGTCTACAACCCACCGTTCCCGGAGCCGCTGCCAGACCGTCGCCTGCACCGTAGCAATGCCATCCGCCACCGCAGGCGCTCGCTCCCCGATGTTGTCCACAACCACAGCCGCGAGCCTTCCGACGCTTCCACCACGTCGGTCGAGTCCGATGCTCATGCTGACGAGAACGTCGACGTCAACACGGTCCGCCCCTTGAACGACGCCGAAACAGTCGCCGACGAACACGAGCATGTGCTCGAAGACAACTGGTACGACGACGGCCACAACCACTTTGGCGGCCAGCACCAGCGCGCCGGCCAGAACATCGTTAGCCTGCTCTTCCGCGTCTCCGAGGACAACGCCCGCCGCAACGCCTATGTCCACCGCGGCTGCCTCTGCAATGGCTGCGGCATCACCCCGATTCGTGGCATCCGCTACCGCTGTGCTAATTGCACCGACTTCGATCTCTGCGAGACGTGCGAGTCACAGGGCCTCCACACCAAGACGCACATCTTCTACAAGATTCGGGTCCCCGTTCCGCGCCTCGGCTCCCGCCCGCTGCAGCCAGTGTGGTATCCCGGCGACCCTGAAAATTGTTTGAGACTTTTACCAAAACACCTCATGGCCAGGTTGTCCAAGGAAACGGGCTTCGAGCGGCCCGAACTGGAAGCCCTGTGGGAGCAGTGGACTTTCATGGCCAACACCGAGTGGCGCGAGGACCCTGACGAGCTGGGCTTGGCTATGGACCGCAAGACGTTCGAGCGTTACCTGGTGCCATCGGGCGGATACCGTCATATCGCGCCGAACCTCCTGCATGACCGCATGTTCGCCTTCTACGACGACAACAACGACGATCTCATAGGCTTTTCCGAGTTTCTGCACGGCACCGCGTACCGCAAAAGGAAGCACAGACTCCGCAAGGTGTTTAAAGGCTATGACATTGACGGAGATGGTTACATCAATCGCCGCGATTGCCTGCGCCTCTTTCGAGCATACTATGTGGTCTTCAAACATATGCACAGGGACATTCTTGACGGCCTCGATGACCAGGTCATGAGCTCCACCGAGGTCGAACAGCTAGTGACTAGTAGGCAGCCATTGAGCAGCTTATTCGGCCGGGAAGGCGGCTTCACCCACGCCGACGCCGACCGTCCGATGCGAGGAAAAGTCACCAACCTCAACACCGGCGAGGTCCACATCACTGATGGAGCGACGACTGCAATCAACGAGGACACGCCGGACACCGCGGACCGCCAGTCGGTTCTGACCAGTCTGTTTACCAGCCAAGCGCACGCAGCCGAGACTCTCTATATGCCAGGATTGGACAACGCACGATCAGTCGGGGAGAGAGCATCTGGGATAGAATATCTGAACGGACTTCTGAACCCTCCAACCCGCATCAGTGAACTGCCAGCACTTCTTCTCGGCGAAACCCGCGGTGGCGACGATTTTCTTGTCGTCATAAACGGTGGCGGCGGTCAGCAAGAGGGCAGCAACGGACAGGGGACCCGTACTGGAGACGGAGATGGTCACAGGCCGGGAGAAAATGGCACCTTGGGATCCGGGGGGGACGGAGTTGGATATGGAACTCGTGCGAACGGGTCTTCAGACAGCGGAGAAACCGGTCCAGACGACCGGGCCCAGCCTCAGGCCTACAGGTTTACCTCGAATCGCCGTCTAAGAGCCAATGCACGGAGAAAACTGTTTGACCGTTGGAAGAGGAGGCAGTTTTACCTGGATGAGGAAGAGGGCGTGTTGCCGCCGGACGATTGGAGCGACAACGATGACATTCTCGCCCATCTCAACGGCTCAACCGACGGCGACTCCAAGGCAGCTCAGCCTGCGCCCTCGTCCCGGTCGCGATCGTCATCCAAGGTGCGATTTGCCGAAGACACCGATGACTACGACGTCAGGTCCAACCCTTCGACATCGTCGAGGAGCATCCCAGAGCGATGGGGAGGCATGGAGATTCCCGACGCCGAAAGAGACGTTGGCAAGGAGATATTCTACCAAGTCAGCCAGCAGGCCTTCAACGAGATTCTTGACATCCTCTTCAAGGCGAAAGAAGATCTTGCAGTTCAGGCGGCTGAGACCAAGGAGAAGCGCGATAAGTACAGGCACATATTCCAATCGATCAATCCGGATGAGGAGAACGAAACCCAAACCACCCCAGAGTCCGGTTCGGGAAACCCGAAGTCTCCTCGAGACCTGTCGTTGGAGGCACTGCTTGCCTTCAGTGGCTACTCAGTCGATCAAACATCCGCGGCGCAGAGCAATGCCAGGACCGAAGGTGAAGCGGAGGCAAACCGAGGCGACGAGACCGGCGATGATGACGATGATTCCGTCCCGCCCCCGCTGATAACAGTTGACGCACAACCTGGGCAGCCAGCTTCTACCGAAGCCGAAGTCTATCGCGATCCCACTATGCCTCAATTCCGTCCAGATTCGGTGCCGGCATCCCACGAGCGGGACGCTGCGCAGAGCCAGGCACAGCCGGCACTCGCGTCGTCGCCAACGCGATTCGTGGGCCTCCAACCATTCCCTCCACCGACCGACTCTCAGAAGCCAACGGATCCGGAGGCTGAGGCAGCAGACGGCAAGACAACGGGCAGCCCTTTGCCCAAGTTCATTTCGCGGAGCACGCTAATCAACTGGAAGCGCCTCGACCTCGCTGAGGAGGAGGCAAGGGAGCGCGGGGGATGGGGCAGGCTGAGCTACGAGGAGTTCGAGCGCATCTACAAGTCAGCCGAGGCCAGTGGCACCCGTCTGGACTACCTGGGCACCTGGATTGACTTTTGCATTCCGTCTACCTAGTGGGATTGTGGACTTGAAACGATGGAAACGAGGGCCGCGAGGGTATTCCGGTGGTGGGTGACCTGGCTTGGAGATTTCTAGGCCCGGGCTCTACCTGGAACAGCGTGTATGAGTGAGTTTAGTGATAAAGGGGGAAAACGGGGTGTTGAGGTTTCATACTTTGGCGTGTATATTGAATACCCAGGTTGTCAATGTACAATACAAGTACGAGGACCCGGCGGGTGCAGCGCATGGAAGCTATGCAGATAGATGCTTAGTTCTTTTATCCCAGTTTCTTGAATGGAGATACCTTGCCATTTCTACTACTTCTACTTCAGCATGCTACAGCTGTTTTTGTAGTTTCCCTACTTCTGCGCCCATTCTGTCAAGAAAAAGCGATGGCAAAGAGGCATGGTTTGGTTATGGGAGGGGATAGAAAAGAGGCAGTAAACAATGCGCACGGATCAAGGGCAGAGCGTCGCCCAGCAATCGCTGAACTGTTCAAGACCATCCCAGGGGTCGTGGCAAGATAATCCATTGCAAGCAGTTCTCGGAGACGCATTTATGATGTACCGATGATGGGTGTTACCTTCGTCCTTTGCCCCCTTATGATCCTCGGTGAATCGGAAACCCCAGGTCCAGACATCAACCCTTTGACACACCACTCTGGCTGGATGTGGTGCTGTATGTGTTACATAAATCATGAGGGGCTACTTGTGTGAAGTTGATGTACCCTACAAGTTTCAGAAATTGGGATCGTAATTCTTTATAGATATTACTGGTGTAAGCTATAGCGCTTGTGAAGCTCTGTGGAAGAGAGAATCAAACAATCTCTAGTTGTTGCCCAGCGTGTTGAGGTTGGCCGGGCCTCTGGATGGCAAGTTAGTAGTCTAGTAGACTTGCGAGAAACCGGGAATCATTGTAATGTTACAACGTATTCCTGAAATATTTGGGTCTGGTGTTCTCGATGGCGCCCCTAGAGAGCGTGCGAGGTGAGCCTGCGGTCCCTGGGGGATAACTCGTGCATCAGGAGGCGCTACACTTCTAATCTGGCTGGTGATAACCCCCGACAAAGTACCTGGCGCATCTTCTGACAGGTCGCCGTGATTCTCAGATAGCTCCGCCGAAAGATTTTGGCTCGGGAACTTCCCCTTCGGGGAGCCGCGTACCTTGGCTGTCTCTGATACCTCCATGGACTGCAATGAACTGGAGCAGTTGCCGCTCACTTTCTGAAGCATACAACAACGTTTCTTTACTGGCCGACGGTCATGCAGTCTTATCGGGACCTCAGGAGTATGGTCCGTCCAGATCTTGTTCGCGCAGCTGCGAGGGGGTAGCGATGCTCGGCACCGTGAGGCCGCAATGTTTCGCGCGGGTGGTGGTAATTCTCGGCGTCAAGGAGGTCAGAATATGACCGAAGGTGACCCAACAGCCGTTGATTAGCCTGATGGTAACTCGTCGAATCTCCCTTGTACGGTACTTCGGGCTGTCTGAGATGGTGGGGGGATTTATCTTGCAATGCTGGATTCACCGTCTTGAATACTGGATGACTTCCCTATCAACTGTAAGTTTGGAGAGCCGAGTTACCGGGAGATACAAACAAGTTCAAGAGGCTATGGGTATACTTCCATCGATCGCGTTCTGTCAGGCCAGGGTGTCAAAGAAACGCGTATCAGAACTCGTAAAGGGAGGGTGGTTGCTTCCAGTCGGCGCACGGAGCCAACGAGGAACCTCAGGCTCGTCCAGAGGATGCTTGCCGGAAGGGCGGCCTCTGGAACGACGGGCAGCAAGCAAGCGCCGGCGTGATTCTCCCAGCGTATCGAATGGACGTGGTTGGGTCTCGGCGGCGGCACCGAGATAGGTAGTCGGCCCATGTTTGGTCCCTCGCGCAAGCTTTGATTCGGGAGAAGAAAGAGATAGGTGGCGAGCCAAGACTGTTAAAGACCCAACGCTGTTGCTTGACGAGTGAGGAGCCCCGAAGAAGGAACACCACCCTCCATCACCTCCAGTCCGCCGCAGTGACATGCCATGGACTGTCTCATCTTCAGCAAGAGATATCGGTTGATAGGCTGCAGCCAATGGTAGCCAAGAGCGGGACGCATGTTGTGACAGATGCAGACATGTAAGAGACAGACGGTGGGAGTTGAGTCCAGTAGTGGTAAACATGGGTGTGTTGTGGTGAACGGGTACTCTGTAAATGTAGTCGAACTCGATATGGTAGGTTCCCAAGCAGTGTATTGAATCTACCAACGTGTCTTATCCAAATGCTAAGGGAAAACCTGGAAGAGTCGGACCCTTTGTCTGGTTACATGCTGCACCGGGGCACACCTGGGCGACTGGAGTTGACCTGGATAATGCTAGACGGTCCGGTAGTAGTTATGGATTTCCGGGCCGGACGAGGCCAAGTCGACTGTCGGGTATTAGCTGGTATCAGACACATCGCGCAATCTAAGCTGGGGTCAGAGGAAAGATCCAACGGAGTGAGGAGCAGAAGACGCGGCGCAGACCCAAGACGCACCTCGCCAACTGGACTCCCAACTTGGAAGTCAACGAGAAGTCAGCGACTCGCCGGCCTGAAAAGCCGGCTCTTTGCATTGACCACACTTGACTAATAACAGTTTGAGCACATAATTCAAACCTCAATGCTTTCTTGGGACAATCCTGTTTCAAGTCCACGACCGAGTCACCGGAGGCGAGCAGTACATGGAATCCCCCTCAATCCGTAACGCCTCGAGCTCTAGGCTTTTGCCTAGGGCAAAACCGCAGCCGTGTTAAGCTCCCATTGCCCCGTCTCTGATTTCAAATCTAGGATCTTATAAACCTGACCCGTCAGAGCTTAACTTGTGACCACTGGCAGGCATGAGCTGTCTCGACTGGCGTTGATGCCTGCATGTTTGAGAACATGAAGGCAACCCGAATCCGCCCGAGGGCTGTGCATGGGTCGTTGGTAACATGATTTGAGCTCTCTGCAGGTCCATGTCAGAGGCGGCAGGCCTACCTCCAGTTGGGCCAACAAACAAAGAAGCATCCCCCGGCATCATGGACGTAAAGCGGAAGAAAACCGACCAACTCCTGTTGTGTTCCGTCTCCACCGTTGTTGCGGTTGCAGCAAAAGATCAGCACCTTCCCGGTAACCCGTGTTGTCACAGTGTGCTAGGGTAGACGATCTACTGGAAAAGTTTGTCCGTTTGCTGCATACGGTAAGGTCGGTAGCTAAGCTACCTTAGCTGCAAAAATACGCTTGTTCTCCCTAGAGCAGGAGATAATGCTGCGGGAGAGAGGAGGCTGTGAAAGCACAGGATCCAGTCACCTTTGAAGTACACCCCCTTTACGGATGACCACATTGGGAACGGCAAAACGCCCCCCTGCAGAATGGCGCTTCCCCACGCGCCTCTAGGACTCGAGGGCCGGCACGGGCACCCGTCGGGCATCGACATCCTTCTCTCTCCCCACCAGTTTGAAGATGGCTGCATGCAACCTGGAGGTTTATCTCTCTCAACAGCTGCAACAGCCATCCCCTCTCGGGCCCGAGACTGCTACACAACCTCCCCTCTGGTCTCGTCTCCCGCTGGTTCCTTTCCGATCCTCTTCTTGCTCCGGCGATCTTCAACCCTCGACAGCTTGTCTACTTTGATCTTCAATCACCAAGCTGGGATCTCCCCGAATGTGGTTGAGCGTCAAGCTCAAAGCAGGGGTCAGGCTTCAAGGAATAAACCTGAATTCCGCACTGTATGTCCATAATCGAGTGCAAAACCAACGCTTTCCAGCCTCTGGCTGAGACGGCGGACTGCCACTCCCCGCACCGCCATCCGGTAAGTCAAGGCTAAGGTACCTTAACAGTCGCCGTCCCTTCGAAGCCCGCCTCGAGTGGTCGCCGAATGGCAGCCCATTAAGCGCCGCCATGCAGCAGCCGCACTGCCGTGAACAAAGATGAAAGGATATGACAGGTCATTTTGTTCGGCCTGGCCGCTGCAAGCCCAGTCAGACCAACAGCAGGCTCTGATTTGACTACCAAACGCTCGGGTCAGAACAGCGGGCATGATACGTCCGTCTAAATTCAGCGGTACTCCGAACACTACCCCCCTTCTGTTGGCGTCCAGGCCATGCCCGTATCTAACGCGCGGTTTAGCACTAGTTCAAGCCAGTCAAGCCACTCTCACTGAATGGACGAGAAAAGCGCTTTGACTCGATCCCTGATCACCCAGGGCTGATGATGAGCGTGGGGACTCGGAGTCGGGGGAGATGGAAAGGATCTTCCGCCAAAATGGACAATACACACCAAAAACTGAATGTGCGGTGTGCCTTTGGACAAGAGATACCGAGACATGTCCGTGATGTTCTATCTCGGCAGTCATGATTTGCAGGGCTGTTGTTGATTTTGGATGCGTTGGCATTTTCTCCTTGGCATAACGTTAGTAAGGCTAAATGTTCCCAATCAACACCAAGGTGCAGGAACAGAGGCAACTGAGGACAGCACGCAAGTGACAGATCCCCAGCCATTCGGGGATTCAAACAGTTGATTGTCGCTATGATGCCAACTAACCCAATGTCTGCCAAGCAGCAAAAATGAAACACATTTTTCAAACGATGAAAGCCTGATGCACACATAATCTGGCGCTCAGGGCACAAGCTCCATGGAATAGGACTCAAAGGAGGACAGGTATTAGTTGAACCCCTGTGCATGTTATCCTTCGCAGTCCGAATCCGCTGGCAGAAGAAAACTGTGCGACGAACTCCGGGTCCTCCGGGTTGTAGCATGGTCTTTGACATCGTCTGAGATGTTGCCTGTTAGCCTGACTCCGGGTCAGCTTCCGGTTTCAGACGAGCTCGACGTGAAGGTCGTACTTACTGATGCCCACCGGCGAAACGTTTTCTAAAAACACAACAATGTGTCAGAAAATTTTCCGGCATCGCAGCTTGTTGTGCTGCCACCGGCTCCGGTCATGACAGTGCGTCGGATGGGATAGCAATCACTCCTCCTTTTTTTAGTCCGACGGGGAGGAGAACGGCGCACATGAGTTGCAATCTTCACACCGAGCCTCTTCCCCGTCCCGACGGAGAAGCTTCCTGCAGTCGCAAATCCAGTAGGCCTCCCCAGGCCACCTGGGCCGCTGCACCTCAATCACGTCGCGAGGCTCGTAGATGCCCAGCCTCAGGCCACACTGAATACAGAAGCGCCGGATGCCATATGTCTTTTTGATGCGCGGGTTGGACCTTGCACAAGCCTGGCCAGCGCGGCGGCCATTCCTGGCCGCTGATTCCTTGAGGCTGGCCCGAGTCACTGTCGGGTCGTAGTACCCGGAGCTTGGACTTGTTGAGGACGCAGGTGGCGTGCCGGACCGCTCCCGTTTTGTTGTCCCTGGTGTCGAAGACCGTGTCTCGGTCTCCTCGTCGGCATCTCCTGCTTCCCTGGCGGAAGGAGGGCCCCGATGCATCAGCTCAAACTGGTGGTAAAGTTTGAGCTTTAAGCAGTGATAGCACGCTAGCCCCCATGGTTCCTTGGAGTTGGATTTCCCCGGCTTGGAAGTGCCTGATTCCTCAGAATTACTGTGCCCAGGGTTGCGCTCCGCTTCCAACAGGCTAAGTACATCGTCGAATGATTGCTCGAAATCCTCTGCGCTGTCAACCGGGCCTGATGATGTCTTGCTGTCCCGTTGCGTGCTCGCTGACGGGGGATGATCGATTGGTGTCGCTTGCTGCGGCGGCAGAGCTGGCGGAGAATGGTATGACGTGGCCGAGAACAACGGATACATGGCGGACGGGTAGGAGTCGTACGACAAAGGCGATGACTGCTGATGCAGAACGCCTACCGGGTAGCCGCCATACGGGGAGGATCTCGAGGAGTGTCTTGCGCTCAAAACCGGCGGGTAAGGCGAAGGGAATGAAGCAATTTGGGGTTGAAGGTACTGAGACGGGAGCGACGGTGGATCAGGTTGAGGTGTGTGCAAGTGCTCATGGCCGAACCCCGGGTACTGGTTCCTGGAGTATATACCATTGTTTGTTTCCGAACCAGAAGTACTGGATGCGGGTGAAAGCGTGCGTGAAATGCCGGCGTGGTGAGTGTAGATTGTCTGGTGCGCTGTGGAGGAGGAAGCCGCCGATGAAGTTGAAGATACTGAGGAAGAGCGCGCTTCTAACACCTGGCTCGTCAACGCCGGAGAGTCATAGTAATCTTCGGAATAGGCCCCGCGATTGTAACCCATTGCGTTGCAACACAGCTGATCGTGGGACGGGTGTTGTTGTTCAGTGGCGGCGGAAGGAGGCTTTAGACTGGGAATGATGATGTTCCTGATGTTTTCAATGGATAGCCTGAGATAAAGGGGTCGCGAGCATCTGGACGAGGGAACCCGGTTTGCCCGTCTTTAAATGGTGCGGCCACCTGCGTGAGGATTGCGGCGCGAGGGAGGGCCGGCAGATCGTGTTGGTCTGGTGCTGTCGATCAGGGCGTACGGCAGCTCGGCTGGAGAAGTGTGGATTGACTGGGTCAAACACTGGGCGAGGACAGCGGCTTCTCAGGCGACCTTCAGAAAGGCGCCGCGCCTTCTCTCTAGCCTCTATGGCCGGCTCGATGCGCGGGCAGGCTGAAAATCTGGGCGGAGACGGCCGTGTTAGCAATCATCGCCAGGGATGACTGCTTGAATGGCTCAGATCGGGGTTGGTTGAACCCTTGCGACTCACTCTCCAGAGAGCGGGTACAAATGTCGGAGCCAAGATGCTGGCAGAGAGTAGAGAGTCGGTAAGTACAGATCATCTGACTGAGAGAGAACGCGGCCAGCCGTGTAGTGAATGTATTCGTTGCTGTGTACCAGTGGGTCAGGGGTAGCAAGGAAGCAAAGAAGCAAAGAAGCGCCGGGAGGGCTGGTGGATGTCCTTTCAGCCTTGCGCTCACACCGTGATTGGCACCGCCCTGTGAGACTGCAGATAGGGATCGGAGCTAAGTGGGTAGCTTCAAGGTAGGCTCAGAACCCCAGTCCATACATAGATGCCGCTTTTGTCGATAATGGTCGTCCTGCCTGATGGCTTCGAGGGAACGGATGCACGTTACAGAGATGCGCGGGAAAACGGCAAAGCGGGAGGTTTTGCCCAGGATTAGAAACAGCGGTCATCGCTTGTGGTCCGGATCCGGAGCTTTGGTATGGATGGATGCAACGGTGAGAGATTGCGCCTTCATGCAGGCCCCGTATTCCGAGAAGCAAACGTTCCTCGAGGAAGAGTGGCAGTACGTCGTGAAGATAACCACGCTGTGTCATGGAATCAGTCTGGTCATCGTCTGGAGTTGGCGGTATTTGCGGCGGGCAAGTCCTAGGCGGGCTTCTCGCCTCGAATCGCCGATTTTGGAGTGGTTCAGCCGGGGAACTGTCGAGAGGAAGATACCTTTCAAGGCTTGATCCGCGAGATACGAAGCATATGTCCCTCATCGCACCTTGGAGAGGCCTGGCTGGGTCAAGGTACCTCACGCAGGTAGCTGGACTTCAATGCGAAATCCTTTAGTGCGCAGTGGCTGGATGCTAGCTGTCTTGGCTTTTTTGCACCATGTCCCGTCCAAATCCCATCCCAATTCAGTTTTGCAGGGTGCAGTTGGCGCTACGGATTACCCGTGCCAGAAGCTTCCTTCAGCGCCTTCCCATGCGCCTCGCGCTGCCAGTGTTTTAGTACTGAAGTTGAAGACGGTGGCGGCCGACTATCGCCAGCGTAAACAGCCTGGGAATACAATCATCGCAAGCGAGTCAGCGACCTGACCGTCGTGGCCGGCCGACAGAGAGGCTCGAGGGTTGGAGAGAAGAAGTACGGAGTACCTGGGAATGCTCCGAGAACACTGGACCCAGGGCAGAGCAAGGGCACCAGGCCGGATGCTACTCCAGAGAGCCTTTCGCAGAGGCCCAGTTGCCTCGGGGTGCTGGCCACCTGCTCCACTTGACTAAGGCAACGGCTCGACCAACAGCTGCTTGGCAGAACAGTTAGCCAACCATATATGTATGATTTAATATCCACACAGTGCTTACAGTGTATCCGATACGCCGGTATCCAATCAAATTCCAAGACCCAACCTGGGTCCACTGCTTCTCGATGTTACTGTGGAAGGCCTCGTCCGCAACCAAAGAAAATTGGTTGAGTCGGCGCCACGGCGAATGCTGGAAGAGATCCCCATGGATGCTCATGGACGACTATCACTCTCTGCCGTTCGTCGATGGCGACCCACAGGTCACACAGGATGCGACGCCATGGCAAAGAATGTCTGGAGCCAAACACACCCCAGAGCTGGGCACTCTTGCGGCAGGAAAACGGCGCAGCAACTTTGCAGCTGTATGCACATACAAGTATCTGCAACGATGGAATCCTTGGGGGGTGTGTCACCGCGCAATCAAATTCCAGTTCACAGCTTCACATGAACAAGCGGGCGACTCCACAATTTCGGGGCAGTTCATTGGCCCTTCTGAATTAGGAAATAGGTTCAGGGTCTGGAGCGCTCACAGATTCTGGAGGAACAAGCGCTTCTCCTGCGACGCCAGCACTCGGCAGACGATTTCTATGCAACTCTAATTGGCTTAAGAGGCGGGAGAAACGCGCCATCAACGCAGAGGGGGTGGAAGCTTATGAGAGGGGACAGCGAACAAGACGGCAACACGCTAACAAGGTGTTATGCACGCTCTCACACTTGAGCTACTTGGACTCGCAGGCTCAGTCGCTGACAACCAGATCAACGGGACCTCGTAATCAACCCACTGATTGGCAAAGAAGAGATTTGACGGTCAAGCCATCCAAAGCGGACTTGAAAGCTCGAAGGCAGCAAGCAACCCTGGGTGTCCGGCATAGAGTTCCGATTAACCGTTAACGCTTTCGTTCCAGGTGCCTCCATGGTCTCCGGGACAAGCCACCGAAAAACTCGGCCATTAATTCATCAGCGTGATGCCTGGACTTGAACAGCACTGAGCACAACTATATGTTGACAAAAGCAAAGAGACAATCGCCGAGTGACGCGTGAGAGCACTACCGTTGAAGCCACTCTGATAAGGCACACTGGGAAACCGCCTCCAACCAGACCGAACGTCACGCTTTCTCTCACCCAAAACGTCCAGTCCATGGCCACCTTGAGTCGCTACGGGAGGGCATCATAGCAATTCTGGTGTTTGTGCCAACCGGACCGGCGGCAGCTCTAAGGGCCGTTTGAGCCCCGGCCCGGTTCGTCTCGATTGACCGGATCGGCCAAGGACGGTGACATGTTGAAGGACTTCTCGACTGGCTGTGGCCATCCCTAATCTTTCAGTCCTACCAATGGCGTGCGGGGTCCGTTTCATGGACGGGCTTGTTTCTCCCCAGTCAGCACAAGGTCTCGTTCATTCCTGCCTCACCCCTCCATGAAGGTCAAGTCGATCGAGTGGATACAAGTAAGCGAGCCTCTGATCTCGTGGCTTTGTGGCTTTGGCGGTGAGACAAACAAGTCTTGCATCGGTCTGCTTTCGGCAAGGCAATGGAACACCAAGCGGTGTTCTAGAAAGAGGGGGCTGGCGAGGCATCCTAGGAATACTGTAAGTTCGTGCAGATCTAGCGTATTCGAAGAAGCTGATCGCTTTCCCTAGCTGAGCTGGGCTTCAGCATGGCGTCGCCAGCCTTGTTCCCTCGCACACAGTGGGCGCCATTTTTCGGCTTGCTGGTTGGAAAGAGGCCCCATGGGAGCGGGAAGAGCAATGATTGACCGCATTCCACGAGAAACCAAGATTCATGCCAATGACAGTCTGGTCTGGAGGCTGAATCGCACTTCACATACACACATGGTCGAGTACGTATGCTCGTACACATATCCATTTGTCGCGATTCCAGCGAACGAATGGATACCCCTAGCGCTCAGCAAAAAAACTCAATTCCTCGCCGCCCAATATTTCCCTCAGCGTTGTACATTTATTGCGTTGCAGTTTAAGGGAAACAGTTGTTGCGAGGAGTAAACGGCAGTATTTGTGGAGTGGCATGAGGAGCTGAAGATAAGGGGTTGTGCCAGCCCCTGCTTTCCAACCCCTGACGACAAAAACACCCCCAAACGCCATACGAAGTCCTTGACCTGTGTACCATCAAACTCCACCGAATGCACCTTTGCTGTATTCTCAAACACATCACTCCCGGCCGGAAACGACTGTCTTGGCCGCCTCGATCCTAACAGGAAGCAGAGGAGTTGCCGCCGCCCACGACTTGTTTACTGTCGCGGTCTCCTCCATAGGAACAACCACGACACTCGTAAGCGTCTGCAGCCCAGTGACCGTCACGGCGGGCAGGTCGGTCGTGGTGAACGGCACCGTTTCGAGAATCGTGATCGACTGGACGCCCACGCCACCCGTCTTGCTCGAAGGGGACCCTCCCGAGAGGAGAGCCGTCACGGTGACGGTGCTGGGCTCTAGAGTGAGCGTCGTGACTTGCAGCGTCATTGTGACAGTAGTGGTGAAAGGGGCTGCGACTGTAGAGGGCGTGAGGGAGCTTTCTGCTGGGACAAAAACCGTCGTTGCCGACAGATCTTCGCTGCTGGAGGGGGAAGGGGGAGTAGGAGTTGATGCCAGTGTTACAGAAGCGGGCTCGCCTTGCGCGGTGACTGTGGCGGTGCTCACAGGATCGTCTGGTGAGCTGTCGACAGGTGCTTCATTGTTTGAGCGACTGTGGATGTCCTCTGCGCCACGCATTGGAGGCGCGGGGGAAGCTGGGGGTGGTGGGATGCACCAATTCGGGTCTGCGAAGAAGAAACCGGTGCAATCGGCTCGGCGGAATATGCTACCCGAGTTAACAGGACATGGGGACAAGGGAGTATTGAACAGTGGTGACGTGAGCAAAGGATGGTGTTTCTTAAGAATCGGAACAGCAGCAGCGAAAATGGTGCCGTTGGCGATGAAGAAGATGAGGATGTAAAGGGAATACGTTGACATGGCCTCGGATGACGGTGCTCAAGTGCTGTGAACAGTCCATGCCAAGGATTGCTTGACGGACTTCCTTCAGTCTCTTTGCCTCCAGGAAAGGAACGCCAATCCACTCGTAAATTTATATCCTCCTCTTCCAAGCTTTCTGCAACACATAGTCACACCAGGAAGGGGGACGGTGACGTGTACCGGTTATCTTGTGAACCCAGATTCGGGAGATTGCGTCGAACGATCTGAGGTGGCAAACCGAGAGTTGTAACCCAACGAGCTTCCCATGGCTTCGTGCGGCTTTACAGTAGGCAAGCGACGAGAGACACTTCAGGGGTCGGTCCTGTAAGCTGCTTAAATCCTCCAGCGGTTCTTGAAACACAGGCTCTGATGATAGGCCGAGAAACATGAACTTATGGTAGCCTTGACTTGTGTGCAAGACATGTCTGGATGCCTGGCTTCATACGGGTCCTGACACTTGGACCAGGAAGCAACAGGTGTTGAATTGGGTTTCACATTGTGCTTATATCAAGAAGTTAGGTTCCATACATGACGAGGCACATTACACGTGAAACAGAGTACGGAGTTTGTGCAGTGTTAGTTTTCCTGATTGTCAACGTTCATGTTCTTTACTTGAGGTACAAGCTGGCTTCAGCTACGAAGAGGAGGGGCGCGGGGAGAAGAGGGTGAGGAAGAAGATGAGGATGAGGAAGACGAAGAGGGTGAGGAAGTATAAAGAGGGGGAGAAAAAAGGAGGAAGTGGAAGGAGAGAGAGAAAAGAGGAGGAAGAACATGAAGAGAAAGACAGAAGAAGAGCAGTAAGTAGAGAACGAAAAGGGAAAACAAGAAATTGGTAGAATGGCCCGACTCTGTGTTGTTGTAAGCCCGAGTCTACTATATAGTCGTCTCATCGTCTGAGCAGCAGCTGGTAGCTATTTCTGTGATATGTGAAAAGCTCCTGGAACAAGTCGTGAATTGGTGATGTTCTAGATATTGACACAATGCAATGCAACATTGTTCAAGGGTGTCTCATTCATAGTCGAATGGCTTGAATCATCTCATCGGCTGCCAGGCGTCAAAGCTGCAATGTCGCCAGTAAGGTTGGTGAGTTTGAACTCAAGACAACAAAGTCAAGAACATGCTTAGGTAGTTTAGAAATGTGGTGTCCGATCCATCTGGCGACCATTTGCCGCCAGGGGTGGTCTCTGGGCAAACATCGCGACAGGAGACACCCGTATTATTGCCTCCATTCTGAACCTTCCATAAACCTTGAGGTGGAAGATCTCCCCTACATTATAAGATGAAGTCGTTCTTGCCAAAAGAGCTGAATTTTCCAAGAATTCGGATCGAGCGGGCCTCCTCTCACATCCACGTCTCCCTCTCCCTCGTATGCTCTGGCGAGACCCAGCATCTACCTTCGTCGCCCTAGACCTTTGGATTCTCGCCCTTCAACAAAGGACCTGTTCACGACAAAGTTCTTTCTTTCTCCTTTATGTCCCCTCTTATTTCCCCTCACGATATTCCCTTTCTCTCTTGAACCAGCCGACTTCCTATAGTACTCAAGGCGCCTCAAAACGAGGTAATCAAATGTTTGTTTAACCCTCCATCTTCCACAGCACTCACTCAACTCAATGAAATAGCACTACAATCTTCTTCACCTTCCATCTCTACCGCAATCACACTACTCAAGAAAACTCAGTTAAGCACACAAGCTGCCACTCTCCCTCAAACTCTTCCCATACCCTGCCCCAGTCCTTCAATCTGGCGTCGTGACCGCCGTCCAAAGCCACAAGGATCGTCACGGCACCCGAATGCAGAGCCAGGCTCCCGGTTCTTCACTCGCCAATCCAGAAACAAAAGACAAATCCCATTCCTGAGCCACGAATGTTGGTAAAGATCTAAGCCAACCGGTATTTGTACCGCGGCCAGCACCAGTAAGCGAACCAAGCAACCGATTTTCCCACCACATACCCCGTTTCCCGACTCGAGCGGCGGAAACAACAACCATCATCATCGCCAAAGTCAGTATCGGAACGTCTTGACGAGAAGCGTAGTCGGGTGGAGCGACCATATCAGATGTTTCCTCCCACAGACGTTGAGACAGACCCCATGGTCAATGCAACATCTTCCGGCGACAAGCAATCTGCCGAAAAGCATGGCGTTGCAACTCTGAAACCAGATCACTTGAGTGAACCGGAGTCTGTTCAGCCTCTAAAGGTCAGGCAGTCCGCTTACATGTCAGATAGGAAGCTCAGGCTCACAACTCTCCTAGACGAGATCGCCAAGCTCGAAGATACACCAAACGGAAGTTGAACCAAAGCATGACGCAGATACAGCATCGGTGACCGACCGCCTCGCATGCCTCCAGGTGGATGATAACAGAGATGACGAACAGAGGGTCCCCTCCAGCATCATCCAACACACTTCTGCTCTCAACCTCGCCTCCAGCGAAAAACTCAACACGCTTCCGGACTCGAGAACTTTTGACACAAACACTAACGGTGATGTCAACCAGGCGGTCCTGTCAGAAACCGGCGAAGTTTTTGGCTCCATGGCACGGTACGCTTTCCGTGGTGGCCCGTCGATTGCGACCCTGGGATGAGATGCTGACGAAACCGTTGTAGGATCCAGGAACTGCTGGAATCAGCGGGGGCAGAGGGCGCAGGCGACATTCTAGACAAGGTTCTGTCGCTTGCTGCAGTCCGGTGCAGACAGGAAGCCGGGCCAGAGTGTGAAGACGGGGAGGACGCCGAGGAGGAATTGGCCAACGAGATCAGGGAGCTCCTGGAGCCCATACCCGCCGGTGTCACCGGTGGCGACGGAACGGCTCCCCAGTCGCCAGTCGAGGAGAGGGTCGACTGCCCGCCCGCCCCGCCGCCGTCGCCAGCAGGGTCCGCCCAAGAGACTAGGCCCAGTTACGAGAAGTTTTTTCGAGATACAATCCTCGAAGTTGTGCGGGCTGGGAGCTTTCGCGGTCCGAGAGCTCAAGAAGGGCGAGATCATCCTGGTGGAGAGCCCCCTGCTCCGAACGGCCCATTTCCGGCTCATGCTGGATTATGCCAACCTTTCCGACGAAGCGAAGAAGGCATATCTAAGCCTGCACGGCGCCGAGAATGGAGACCTCTTCAGCAGAGTGGAGCGGATCAAGAAGTTTAACGCGTGAGTCGCACAGCTCCGGTTGCGATTGATGCTGCAGCTAAACTTTCGTCTGACGTGAACAGATTTGCGGTCCCAGGCGGCATCGCAATCTTCGAGATTGCATCTCGCTTCAACCATGCTTGCCCGTCAGTCCGGAATGTCCAGTATGTTTATGACGATGAGGAGGGGGTGATTGAACTCATCATTTGTAAAGACATGGTTCCGGCGGGTGCTGAGCTTCGCATCAGCTACGGGGGTTCGCCGATCGAGCTGTACCGAACCTACGGCTTTCGATGTTCCTGTGGCGGCTGCACGCCGCTGACCGACGAAGATATCAGGAGGCTCGAGGACCAAGAGTACAGCATCCCGCATTGGTGATTCACCATCTCGGCGTGCCGTGCTGACAAGAGCAGTCGATCGGAACCCCGCCGCTGCCGGTGTCCACGAAGGTGGCCCCGCCGACGCCTCGCGTGCCTCCGGCCGTGGCCGCCACGGAGCGGTCATGGTCGGATGGTTTTGTATGTACGACGTTTTGGAAGTGGTGATGGGGCGAAGGGGGAGGGGGGCCGGGGGCGGGAAAACGGAAGAGGTTCATTTTGGGAAGGGGGAGGAGTCCACGAAACCGGAGAACTAAGCTACTGATTTCATTGTAATGGATGGAATTGTTAAAGTGTGCTATGTGGCAATTAGTGCTTGTGGCATGGCGGAAGTGGGAAAGAGCACGCGGGTCCACATGCCATAGTCACTCTTGACCTGACTGACCCCTTGCTGCGACTGTCGACAGCCGACGGAGAGGATCCGCTCCGGTTTGCCCTCAATACCTGGTATGGGACGAGAACATCAGCATGACCCGTCAGTCATGATAAAAGGACATGCGTTGGGGCGGTGCAACTCGTCTTACCAAGCGGTGACCTGGGCCTGGGTTTCAGGTATAGAGCAGTACTAATGTGGGAGGTTGCTAAGGTACTATGGCTCCTGCAAAACAGTAGCCGTTCTTGGGCTTGCAGCTGGCTGACTCAAAGATCAGTGCACTGCTATAGCACTGTCCGTTTGGTAAATAACATTCCTTGTGTCTCATGCATGCATGTGAACGGGGAGAATAACCGGAGGTATCCATCCGGATGATGTTGGTGACTCCGTGTCCACGCAGGGTGTTGAGAGCCAAGGTAAACGATGGGAGCAAACTGGCGGAACGAGGTATGACAGTGCTGAGGTATGACAGTGCTGAGGTATGACAGTGCTGAGGTATGACAGTGCTGAGGTATGACAGTGCTGAGGTATGACAGTGCTGAGATATGGCAGTGCTGAGGTATGACAGTGCTGAGGTATGACAGAGCTGAGATATGGCAGTGCTGAGGTATGACAGTGCTGGGGTATGACAGTGCTGAACCAACACATGACATTGCTTCGCCATGGCTGAAGTGGATTCTCGATCAAGGTAGGACGTCCTAGCAGCCGTGAAGCTGCCGAGCGGACATCTTTCTTCCTCCCCTCTTTTTATTCTTTTGTCTAACCCAGATGTGCAAACATCCCACAATTTTTTTTGTGGTGTCAAATCCCCTTCTTTGGACGCCATCGCTAAGCTCCAAACTCTAAAATCCGGTTTCCGATATGCCATACTGATGATCTGACCAGGTAAGAAGAAAGAAGTGAGCAAACCCAGGGGTATCAAAGTCTTTGTCTCCACCTCTAACCCTCTAATGACTCTGACTTGGACCAAAGCAAAACTTTTCCTGCACCCTGTCACAGCTCACTGATGCTTGAACGCCAAATCTCCTGTCGAAAAGAGCTCAAACTTGACGCGGGCGGCGCCGACGCCCTGGGCCTTTAGGTAATCCGACATCTCCATCATGAACTGCTCAGGCCCGCAAATGAAGTACTCGGTGCCGCTGTTGTGTAGGAACAGGTTGTCGGCGCCGACCTTGGCGAGGTCCATACGAAAGTCGTAGTTGTACGTGACGCCAACGACGTCGCTGCTGGCGAGGTGCGTCTTGAAGATGTTTGTGCGGAAGTTGGGGTTGTTGCGCCGCAGTTGGGCGATGTGCTCCTCGAAGGGCACAGTTCGTCTCGAGCCGTGGATCCACGATATGGGCCGCCCCGGCTGCGTCTTGGTGACCGTGTTGGCGATGGCGATCAGCGCGGTAGCGCCCACGCCCGCCGAGATCAGGACCAGCGGAGTGGCGGAGGAGTTGTTGACGTCGAGAAAGAACTCGCCGGCCGGGTGGGACAGCTCGACAGTAGAGCCGGCCGGCATGTGGTCGATGAGCATGTTGGAAACAAGGCCCGGATGGAAATACGACTTGGAGACCGAGTTGGCGTAGCGGGCGCCCTCGTCCCGCTTGACGCTGATGCGGTAGTAGTCCTCCCGCCAGGCCTCGCTGAGCGAGTACTGGCGCGCTTGCATGTAGCCCTCGGGGCTGTGGACACGCAGCGAGACGTACTGGCCCGGGAAGAACTTCGGCAGCTTCTTACCGTCCTCGGGCACCAGGTAGAAAGAGTAGATATCCTCAGTTTCCGGCACAACCCGGTCGATCTTGAACTTCCTCCATGAAGCCCACTTCTCAAAGTCCTTGTAGAGCTGCGCTTCTCGGCCGATCAGCATCTTGGCGAGAAGCCAGTACGCCTTCTCCCACGCGGCGAACACGGTTGGGGTCATGGCCGGCCCCAGCACTTCTCCGAAGGCCTGGAGAAGGTATTTTCCGACAATCTCGTAGTGCTCGGGCTGGATGCCGAGAGAGCAGTGCTTGTTGCACATGCGCTCGAACTTCGGGATCAACTCGCTGATGTGGGTGATGTTGGAAGCGAAGTTCAAGATGACCGAGGTCAGGGCACGGGGCTGTCGCCCATTCTTCTGGTTGACGATGTTGAAATAGTTGTTCAGCTCCGGATGGTCCCGTAGCATGTTCCTGTAGAAGGTGGTCGTGATGTGCTCTCCGTGCTCCCTGAGGGCCGGGATAGTGTCCTTGACCAGTTTCGACTGCTGGTATGTGAGCGCCATGGTCTTCCGAATTGTCTACTTAGAATTCGGAAGCAAGACGAGCGATTGTGGGAGAAGAGAGTGTGAACGAGCCCTTCTCCGGGGTGGAACCGACTGGTTCATGGGGCTTATAACCGGAAGCTGGAATAAGTGTGGACCATCTCGGCTTCACCTTTCTGATATCCGAGATGTTTCCCCATCATCTTTCTTTTCTCCCAGGGGAGCCGCACGTTCGAACTGGCCTGGAAGCCGTAGCTCGTACGATAGTGCAGATGACAGGGATTTGAGGTCAAATTGCCATGTGTGGTGATTGTGGTGAAGAAAAAGTGCCGGGTTGCGAATTGGACCCTTGTCCACAGTTTTTTTTAATGAGACTGATATCATGTGCGGATTGAATTTGCAAACAAGCGTGGCGGGGATTTGTGTCCCGTGCTACTAAACTTGATGGTCGTGATCACAACACGGCTCTTCCCCGGCATTGTTTCCCTCAGTGACCTATCGTACGATACACTCGGTCGGACCCAAGCTGACCGCGTCGATGGCGCATCGTTCGAGAAGAGAGTGCTAGCTGCCAAAGAATTTCCACTTGCGAATTCGCTAATTCGCAAAAGGAGCAGTGAGGCAGACGTGCCTGTAGGGCAAAAATGAGGTAACCAGACATGGTCCAATCTGAGGACGGGAAGGAGGATGCCTCCATACTTCCCACCGGCTTTTCGATGGAGATTGGGATAAGAAAATATCCTGGCGGGGAAGTTCATAATTCGGTTTTGCGTGCGACAGTCCATGTATTGTAAGTACATCGGTACGACGTAAGGTACCCCTCAATTTCACGACCGCAAAAGTGCGGAGTATGGGAACGTTTCGAAACAGTGACCAACATCCGGACGGCACTTTGGCCTCAGTATTCCGAGCTTCCAGTATGTATCGTTCTCTTCGAGCAAAGCGGCAGAGTGCTCATTTGGGGGTGCCCCGTATCCTGGCGAGTTTGTGAAAGTGAGCGTGTCAGCAAGCCACTCAGAGCGTCGAGAAGGGAATGAAGGAGCCACACAGGTCATGTGTTCTGACGGACTATCGAGTTTCTAACGGCTGTCTTCGTATGTTCTTCCCATCATATCTCCTTGGGATTACCCTCTTCTATCCGGCACTTCTTACGGAATACCACGATTTACGGCGTACCAGTACCTTGTGCTACCAACCGCTTTTTGTGGGCTCCCCACGGCGGGCGGGTTCAAGCCGGAGGAGGTCTTGGCACTGTGGAACGATTGCGGAATGCAAGATTCAGAATCGGCCCAGTCGCTGATCCAGTGAGGGTTTTGCCGGGACCACCAAAAGCTACTCCGTAGGGCTGGCAATACGGCTATCGCGGACACTCACTTCCCTATGGTCAAATTGCAAGACGAGCCAAGTGGTGTGGATGTCCTAAACTCACCCCACATGACAGCAATAGGATGGACTCGAGCGCCGGATGTCGGCGTCGAAAAGCTGAATGGACGCAAGCATAGCACACAGTCTTCTCGATTGCCGCAGCAGGCCCTTTCGGCCAGCCCTTCGCGCTTGAGAGCGCAGTACACCATTCCCTCGTGGGACTTCCGCTGACTGGTAAACCATGCCCCGGCTCTACCACGCGTGGTGTTCCAGCTCCGCTCTGGGGCGGTTTCCTTACCCGGACCCGGTTCCTAGACGCCACCGACGCCTCACCAGCTGTGTGTCAGTAACACCCAAGTGCGGGGTTTCGGAGTCGAGTTTGATTGAGTCCTGGTTCAAGGCAGTCACGTCGCTTACCCAGCGCCCAATATATCCATTGCTTGTCCCTGCTGGCAGCCAATGTTACACTCAGTCAGTGGCAAGAAGGCTCGAAGATGGTAGCACACAAGACAACTTAATGGATGAAGCATCTCCAGGCCAGGCCGCTCGCGCTTTGCTAGGTTGCTTGGGGTCCCTTGGAGAGAAGCTGGGCATTATCAGAATCCGGAGTGTGCATGGAAGAACCACTCACACCTTGATGAGGTGCTGCAGATGCCACACAGCTCGGATCCTTCCCGCGGCCAATCGCAGAGACTTGCGAACTGTACAGTGTGCCACGGTTGATGCAGGCAGCGCTTGAACTGTCGTTAACTGTCTCACTAAAAAACAAAAGAAAAAGATTCCCTGAGCAGCGTCTTCCGAGAAAGGAACAGTTCATGGTTGTGGTATGCCCCTGTTGATACTGATGTGTTGATGGGGGTACTTTGCTGGGTTTGCGAACACTCCGGTACCAGGTACCCGAAGCTGGTCGCAAGCCGACTTTCTCAGCTGTCCCAATGCCGTGGAAGCAGGATCCGTGGTCGTCTCTGCTCCTCATTGTCCCCTCGGGTCGGGTTACCCGTTTCGGGAACCCGCTCACCTTCTCCACACCTTCGATCGACGCTCAACTTCTGCAACGGGCTGACATCCAAGTGTCGCCTGCAGCAAGCGCTGCGTCGCTTGGGCGGCATTCGCACGAAGAGAGATGGATTAAGAGGCTCTTGGGCTATATCCAACCTCGAATGAACCAATTGAAAGCGGAAGCGGCCGCCGCCGGTCATTTAGGGGATTCCACCGGCTTCGGCATGTTCTGCAAGGTGCTTGATGGATTCGATGAAGATCCAGTAGAGGGAAGGCTTAAGCTTGGGATAGAGGTGGGATTAGGTCCGTCAATGAAAGCTGGACCGGTCATGAGGGGTCATGAGGAGTCCTGTATGAGGGGCAGCTCCCTCAAGTCAAACATCCCTTAACTGGGTTACGGCAGGAATGACGCCGTGACTTGTCAGGTTTATTGATTGGTATAAGATCAGACTGGCCAGCTGCGCTGGCTGCACCCCTCTCGCCATCTAAACTCTTTGATCGTTTAACTTGGTGAGTGACGGTGGCTTTGAGTCGACATATTTACCTACTTGTATATAAGCACCGTACCCAGCGCTTGGGAAGGGTCTACGAAGATCCACACACCTGAGAACTCCCACAAACTCCAATCTACGACTCCCAACATGACATCCCTCACCTTCAAGACAGCCCTGACAGCGGGCCCCCGCGCCCTCCTCGCCCGCCAATCCCTGCAGTCTACCCCGATCGCCCTGTCTAGGGCATTCCACCAGACGCGCAACCGTCAGAACCGGAGCACCATCCTCCCCGAGTTCAGCCTCAAAAACCGCGTGATCGTCATCTCGGGCGGCGCCCGGGGCGTCGGCCTGACGCAAGCCGAAGCGCTGCTCGAAGCTGGCGCCGTGGTGCATGCCCTCGACCGTCTCCCGCAGCCCGAACAAGGCAGCGACTTCTCCCGCATCGCCGAGCGCGCCGCGTCGGAGCTGGGCTCCCGCATGAGCTATCACCGCGTCGATGTGCGAGACCAAAAAGCCCTCGGCCAGATTGTCGGCGGCATCGCCGACAAGGAGGGCCGCATCGACGGCTTGGTTGCCGCGGCGGGCATTCAGCAGGAGACCCCTGCTCTCGAATACACGGCTGAGGATTCGGACAAGATGCTGGGTGTTAACGTGACGGGGGTGTTCATGACGGCGCAGGCGGTGGCGCGGGAGATGATCAAGCGCAAGCAAAAGGGAAGCTTGGTGCTCATTGGCAGTATGAGCGGGACGGTGGCGAACAGAGGGCTGATTTGTCCGTGAGTCTTTCCCTGTACTGCCCTTCCTGTTCCATGAAAACATTTGGGTTGACCAGACGCAGGGCGTACAACGCATCCAAGGCCGCCGTGTTGCAGCTCGCTCGCAACCTTGCTGCCGAATGGGGTCCAGACATTCGCGTTAACAGTCTCAGTCCAGGCTACATTCAAACGGACATGACTGCAGGACTCTTCGAAGCAGTTCCCGAGAGACGGACGGCGTGGCCAGACGCCAATATGCTCAAGCGGCTGAGCTACCCAGAGGAGTACCGAGGCGCGGCCGTCTTCCTTCTCAGCGACGCCAGCAGCTTCATGACCGGGGCAGATCTCAGAATCGACGGAGGCCACTGCGCTTGGTAACGAGGACGACAGCATCCGAAAGGTATCGAGACAACTTGGCCAATTTTGACACGGTCCGGGTATCGGAGTGGTAGTGTACATGAAGTGAAGGGCGTGGGTTCCGGTCTTGGTCTCATGGTAAATCCATCCACTGGCATCCAGGTTTCATCTAGCAGTGCAAGCCAGATTTTTCCGTCATAGTCGTTCACGATGCCGGAGTCACGATCCCCTGCGGGCCCAGCCTCGCGACAACACCAGGCTTGAGCCCTAGCCGTGACTCAATGTCTCTTGCTGAAGCGCCTCCCTGCTGTAGTACCAGTATTTGCTTGACCGTAGCAATGTCCAGAAACTCCTTCCCCTTGTCGGTCGACTTGCCCATATTGTCCAGCTCATCCTTGGCTCTGGCCTCGATTTGGCGCCGCATTTCGAGGACGCTGAGGGTCGCATTGCTCGAGGATGACGGATACTGTGGGTTCGATAGTGAATGAGGGATTCCGTAGGCATCCGGAAATGGAGATGCTATTGACGACGCCGAGAATATCGGATTCGGCTGCACGATACCCATTTTCTGGAGGCGGCCCGCAAAGTCCGGCCTGAGTTCGGGACCATCTGCAGCCTCCGAGTCGGCGTGAGTTGCTGCAACTTGTCAGATTGTCGGTAGTTCATAAGACCCCAGCGTGCGTTGCAACTCACAGTCATCTTTTGTGTAGGAAGCCTGCGGCTGAGACCGCTGCCGCGTGTCTGCTGAGGGAGTGGGAGCCGACCGTGGAGTTGACCGCGTTGCTGGGCTTGCAACAGCCGCCGTTGGAGATGACCCAGGAGCGCGCGAAGGGAATTTCCGCACGGTTTGCTGCGCTGCTTTAGAGCCGGATGCGCCCATTGTGAATTGTCTCGTCAATCTGTGTATTGCCTCTGGTGAATGCTGTGCTCTTAGTTCGCTCCTCTAGATTTGGTGGTTTATTAGACCTTCAAGTTACAGGTGGGTCCCTGTCGTCATTGCGGGCTCAAGCCACACATGGAGCTGGCATGTGGCTGGTGTGCCGCTGCCGCCACCTTCTAGAAAAACGGGGCCCAAGCAACATCAACTAGCTATCCCAGAATTCGGTTGGCTTTGACAAGGTGGGCATCAGAATCATCCATGAGAAAGCTTGGCTGTTTGAGAACTTGTATTTTGAGACCTCAAGGCTTGGCCTGTTAGGAGAATGCCATGGTTAGAGGTGCGCAACAAGCCTACCCTGTATGCTTGTCTAGAGTTTAGTCTTGTTCTAGTTCCTCAAGTTGTGTAGCTGGAACTGCACAGTTATAAGGTGTAGTAGAAGACATTTGCGAAAGGACTCAAGCAAGTCCAAAGGTATCGTCGGTATTTGGGCTGCGGATGATCGGGGGAGAAGTCAATGAGTGTCCGTTGGAGCCCAATTGGAAGCCCTAGCGAGAAAATCACCAAGTACTAAAATGCATTCTAAAAGTCAAATGGCATGATCTTCATGAGGACTGGATACATGAAACCTGAGTGCGAGCGTTTAGTGGGGTTCGAATGAGAGTCGAGAGTCGCGACAGACTCGACTGTTGATCGGCACAGAAGTTCGCCCATGTCGCAGGCCACGTGCAGATACTGTAATCTGTGCAACCCCTCCGAATCTTGAGAGAAGTCTCAATGTAGGACAGCAGTGTCAAAGTCAAACAAGGAGTTTCGAATTGCTCATGACTACGTTGAGAGCGTCGTACCTTAGCGAAGTTGAGTCAAACGACAGCCAATCATCTGACTCAAATTCCATCTCAGCTCAAAATCTGCGGAGCCTTCCCCGCCCCAAGCCCCGCTCAGCGAGAGATCCAGACTGAGGTGGCTTGCGCGACACACCCAGCCTTCCGTAAATCGGCTTTTTCACCTCCAATTCTCTCCCATCGCAACCGCGAAACCGGACCTTCCAACGACCAGATTGCCGCTGCCAACAGCCTATCTCGCGCCGTCCCGTGCCGTCCCGGGAACCGGAGCCCACTCAGGCCTCAGTGTCTGATTACACTGTCGTTTATCTCCCCCACCCGTCACCAGGGGGCGCCGGCTCGGCCATGGAGAGCTCTGACTTTGCCGCCGGCATGCGGAGTCAGGGTCTCAACTCGGCCGGCTCGACCAAGCGCAAACGGAGCACCTTGGACAGCAGTCCGGCTAGTCTCCTCGACCAGGATCACGACCACGACCATGACCATGACGTCGACCACGACGAGAATGCCTCTCCAGACACCAAGAGTCGCCGTCTGCCCGGCGTGAAGCGTGCTTGCAACGAGTGCCGCCAGCAAAAGGTAAGTCACCTGTTGAGTCACAGGCCCCTTCGTTCCACCTACACCTCCGCTTCCGCCTCCCTTACCCGGACCGCACTTGATCCGGATTGGATTCTCTGGCATTGCTATCCCTCCGGAACCCGGTCCTCGACGCACGCTGTTCAAGGCTAACATGTACCCATTTCAACCTCTTCTAGTTACGATGCGATGTCGTCCAGGAACCATTTCAAAGTTGCTCGCGGTGCAATCGGCTCAAGCTCGAGTGCAAGATCGAGTCCAATTTCAAGCGGATAGGCAAGCGCTCCAAGCACGCCGAGATGGAGAGGGAGATTGAGAGGTTACGCCGCGCTGTTCAGCTCGCCAAGAGCCAAGGCTTCGCTCTCGACGATGACGACGACATGGTACATTCTGCCGTCCATTCCGCCATCCAGTCACAGCTCCAGTCGCCCGTTGTCACGAGCCAGTACACTCATACCAGGCATCCCTCATTGATGGGTTCCGATGAAGCCGTGTCATCACTCCTACACCTCAAGCGCGGCGGTTCCTACGCTCTTCCGCGCATTGCCCGAGAACTCGACGACTTCAGGCTCACCGAGGACGAGGAGGGCCAGCTATTCAGCCAATTCTTTAACTATTACCACCCATTCCTCCCCTTTCTCAATCCTGCCCAGACGCCGGATCAGTATTATCAACAACACCCTCTTCTGTACTGGGCCATCGTCGCCGTCGCCAGCAGACGCTTTGGTTCCGACCCTAACATCCTCACCAAGCTCTCAAGCCCCTTGACAAGGCTGCTCTGGTCCACCGTCGGCGACGTTCCTCAAAGCTACTTTGTCGTCAAGGCGCTCTGTTTGCTCTGTACGTGGCCGCTCCCGACGAGCACCACGTCGGCCGACCCCACGCATATTCTCTGTGGCGTCATGATGAAAACGGCAACGGGAATCGGCCTTCACCGACCCAACCACATCAACGACTTCTCGCGAGTCGCCGTGGAGCTCAACAACGAGGGGCTGCACGACCGCATCAAAACCTGGGCAGTATGTAATATCGTCGCCCAAACAATCGGAACGGGCTACGGCCAACCAGCCTCCACTTTATACGACTGGACGTTGGCCATACGGCCAGGTGTCGAGGGGCCATACTCGCTTGGGCCCGAGCTGGAGGCCAGGCTGCTCATAGAGCGCTTCTGCGATAAGGTCTCAAAAGAGATGTATAGCAATGCCAGTGACCCGAGGGGTGTGGCAGGGGACGAACATCGAGCCATGTTGATGCGCGTATATCGACGCGAGTTCAACGAGCTCCAGGCTTCAATTGTGGCACAGAACCTGTCGCCCATCGTGTACCTCCACCTCAAGGCAGCCTGCCTTCATCTACGCCTTGCCGGGTTCTTTGACTCGAGTCGCACGCCAGGATACCTTGATGATCTGATGGCCCTGTGGCGTGCCACCACCGGTTACCTCGATTACATCCTGGATGGTCCGGAGACGTGCGATGATTCCTACCGATACCAGCTACGGGAGGATTATATGTTGAAGTACGCCACAAACTACATACAGCAAATGCTGGTCGCCGCTGGCTTCGCCTTGCTGAAGCTCATGCGGTCCTTCTTTGTCAAGCAGGTCGACTTTGAGAGGGGCCGAACGCTCTTCCACAGGACCATCCAGGCTATCAGGACTACCAGCGTGGTGCAGAACGATCTGAACTGGAGGCTTGCGGAGCTGATGGTCCAGATCTGGAACGGTGCTAGGATCGAGGGAAGCTCGCCGTCATTTCAGGGCGACGACCCAGAAATTGACGACAGTTTGCAGCTGAAGGTCAGGTGCCGCCACAGCATGAGTCTCGTCTTCGACTCGATCTGGCACTGGAGGGAGGAGTACCAGGCCAGAGGCCGGGGAACGCTTGATGGTGAGTCTCTCTATAACATTCCCCCCGGCACCACCATGTTTTTAGACCCTCGTCGTTGCCTGTTCTCTTAGGTGAACCCGTGCGGGCTAAGATACTCTTTCGTAGCTCTGAAGCAACCCACGAATCCCGATTCGGCTAATGAGTCTTCAGCCTCCTCAACTCATCTGGACAGCACCCTCGCCCCGCCATCACACAGTCTCCCTGCTAACCTCGGCCTGGCGGCGTCCAACGGTGCTCTGACGCCCAGCGGAGGCTCGGCGATGGGAGGAGCCACCCAAGGCTCGTCACTCGTGGGAATAAACGATTACAACAGCAATCTGGACTTCTGGGACCCTCAGCACTGGATGTTGGACGGACTCCTCGACTTCAACTACACGTTCGTGCCCATCGAGAGTGCTTAGGGTGCGCTCAATCATCACTCGGCCAAGGCTGATTCGGGGCCTACATCCCAGATAGCACACCTACAAGCACACACTCAAGCCTGCAGCAATCTTTCGGTAGTATATGTTTCCAATTTTTTGACGAAATACCCGGTTTTTGATTTCAGCGCACATTGTCACTTATGGTATCAGGTCTCATCGGGTATGGTTCGAGAGGTAGGGGTCAGGCGCGGAAAACGCACAACAAAAGGGTTGCGGTTGGTTCTTGGTTGTGGGAGATGAAGTCTATCTGATCAAAGGCAGTTTCAGATAGCGAAAGTAAAAACATGTATCCACGAGGTTGTTGCCGTCATGAGTATAGCTCTCTGGCCGCGTTGGTATCATGTCTCGGATGAGTTCCCCGGTGCAGCACCGGGTGCTTGTGAAGCAGGCAGGTCACGAACAGCCGGAAGGTTCTATAATAAGCTGCCCGACGGGTCGGGCCGTTTGTTTCATCATGTCTGTTTATTTATTCTTGAAGTTGGACGTCGACGCCCATGTGATGGAATGGCTGTCACTGCGTCCGCCAAGGTGGAGGCAAGCCTGGGAACCAACGACGGTGCCGGATCTCAGATGGGCATCTTGCATGGGCTTTGTTGCTGCTATTCTTGTCGGAACCCATTGTGCGGAAAGGTGCGGTCATATTCTTGGGAGGTGTGGTTGGTTTCGAATGTTTTGGGGTTTGAAGGAGACATGCGGCACAAGCTCAGCTCAGTTCAGCTTCACAGCCCCCAATTCTCTTTCTCGGTGATATCTGTAGTTTCGTCCCAATTCCCAGCAGCCGCGACTCTGAAACATCAAGCTGAGCTTGCTAGCTCTCGTCCTCGGCAGCCACTTCAATTCCGGGGTAGCTTTTCCGCACCATCACAGCATCGCCACCTACCTACTGTCGTGACTGAGCTGTCGGCACTCGGCACGGACACGGACCCCGGGCACCAGTCATTGTTTTATCTCCAACACTCCTTTTTCTAGACTTCTCCAGATGTTTGTTTCATCATGTTGGGTGACACCCGGCAGGGAATGCTACCGCCCGGCAGATGTGTCAGTGGCCGCATTCCCGGAGCGGGAGTGGCGTTGAACTGTTTGTTGTTGCTCTTTGTCTTTCTTCCACTTCGACATGCTCACGGTCTGGACACACTGGGTGACTTCCCACTTCAAGTGTTGCATTGTATTGCAATATTCCCAAGCCCCCAAGCTCTTTATTTCCATCCTTCTTCCTCAATCCTCATGCTCCGGCCATGTTGGGGGCCCGAACCTCCCTCGGGGGGGGGGGGGGGGTGGGTGTGTGTTGGAATCCGGATTGGCGGAACCTGAAGACGCGGCACTCTTGAACCCACTCATGAGTCGAACCCCTATGACTTTCCTTCTTGTCACGTTCTTGGTGCTCCCGGATTGGATCGTCTTTGGACGCCGCTCTGCGGCGTTGGGCCTGGCTGGCACGGTATATCGATGCCGCCGGTGAAGGATGTCTACTCTGTTGCTCCTACTGGCGGGTTTGCCAGAACGGTGGGATCAGAACATCAAACTGGAGTAACCGAGTCATGTCTTGCTGAATGACAGCATCGAGGGAACGTCTGTATCCCTACCTTGGGTCGAAGCGCAATGCCGGTTTCATATACTGCGAGTTAGTCTCTAAGTCGAGTTGCGTAAAGGAGGAACAATGTGCTGGCCTCTCCTTCTCTGGGGCTCGTTTGTCCATATCCGCTTCTCTCAACTCATTTTCCCGCTTTGTTCTCACTCTGTTCTTGTTTTTGGCGTTGGTCTCCTACACTTGGCCTCACTTACATCGCAGGTTGCCAAGAGGGCTTGAGGCTAAACCACCACGCCGTTCGCCTCGGTTTCCGTTTGTATGATCCTTAAAAACACCAAGTCCAGCTCATGGAAACTCGCTGGATGCGTCAATACCCTGTTCTTTGTTGCTGTGCTATTTCTACCTATTTCCCGTCTCAAGTTCTCGTCTTCTACTCAATCAAGGGCGAAGTCGCTCGGGAGGCTATGCCGACCTGGCCGCATTGATGGCGGCCGCTCCAGATGCGCTTGACTTCCTTGCCACTGCCAAACTTTCCACAGCTTGGATCCATCCACCTGGAAACAGCGGTTCCAGACAAAGGCGGGGCACTGCTAGGCAAGTCATTCTTGCTGGTTTTTTCTTGTGGCTTTCGTGGTCATCGGCAGCGGCCGCATCGTGGCTATCGCCTACGCCCACTGCTCGGCTTCAGTCCCTTGGTGAACACGCAGTGGGTTGGACTCATCCAGACCCTCATGGCCAAAACTGTAAACCAGGGCTCAGCCGCGGGCGGCTGCTTGGAGCAGGTCTACCATTGCCATCGCCGTGCCCAGCATTTCATGCTTGTTGGGAATGCATAGACCAAGAGGCTTGCATGAAATTCTGACTTCCTCTGCATGGGGTGAGGTGGTCTGACAAAACCCCCGAGTAATTACTCCCTCCTCCAGATCTGTTATCTCTCGTGGATCGCCACCTCTGCACTAGAAAGTCCCGTCCAGCATGCTAGAGGCACTGCGCCGCCGACCGGACGCAAAACTCTATTCACTGTCTCACCCTGACCAAACCTCTCAGTCGCCCCTCGGTTCCTTTTCCTTTTTCTACGGCACCGGAAGTACAAGTCCCTCAAAAGGCCATCCAGGAGCGCCAACCCCCCGTCCAGATACAGGAGAACTTTTCGGGCCTCCTGCAAATACTAATTGAGGTACCTAAGGTAGGTATGAAGACTTGGCTCTGGCGATAGCCGTCGGTGGATTACCTTCGAGGACGTGCCGTTGCAGAGTGCAGCCTCACCTTCAACGCCACCCGCACCTACGGAATTGCGTCGAACCCCCTTTACCCCCCTGTCACCCCTTACCCGGGTTCTCGCGCGTTTGCGGGCCGGAACAGGTTTTCTGATGGTGGTACATTACGGTACAATACAAGCACATACCTCCGTAGCCCATCCACACCGTCCTCCCCATGTTTGCTGCACCCCGGGTAATGTGACTTGGTTGAGCACCTCACTGGCCAGTCTAATAAGCCCCTGTGTGTATGTAGACGGTGACCCTTCAGCACACCGGAAAGCGTGATAACTACCCTGGTAGAGACATGGAGGGGGAAGTTGACGGAGATTGCCGGCAAGCGGCACGCGGCAAGGCAAGGTAAAGCAGGACTACCTATCTTAGCCAGGGGGGGAGCGCGCTTTAAGGTGATGAGTGGGTGGGAGACGATTGGCGGTGGATGAGCCTTGGGAGGATGCCAGTGGGTGGGGAAGTAGTGATCTACCGCGATCGGACGGTCTGCACGGTCAGGAAGGAGGGTGGGCGGCGGCTGGCTTGACCGTTGAGAGACCGATGGCTAATTTGTCTGCTCCGTGCTGGCCAGGTTCTGTTCCCGGACAAGGAGGAGGAAGAGCAGGATTGCCCTTGTCGTGCTTGGTGTATTACTTTGCTTGACATTGCATTACAATGCATCGCCGCCGTGCAGAGGGAAAGATCAGAGGCGTAGTTCCGTGACGGGATTGGTGAGTTCAGGGCAGACACAGATATCGGTAGCAAGAATTGAACGAGGCGTCCTAGGGGATAACGATATATTGAAATTGTATCTGGGTGCCAAAAAAGAGGAGAAAGCGTGTGAGTGAGAGAGAGAGAGAGAGAGAGAGAGAGAGAGAGGACGTCATGCCGGTAGGCGAATTGTCGATACGCCTGCCTCCGGTGTTGCCTGCTCATTTGTCTTGGATGCACCACCTAGGATCTCGGCATGAGTGTGTCGGTTGTGATGCGGAGTAGACCCGAAATCTTGTCTCAACACCGGGCTTAAACCGGGCACCGATGGTGACAAACAGTTCGGTATGTTCGTGAAGTACATGGACAACTGGAGGCGAGGGAAGTTGGCCCGCTTCCATATCCAGAGCATAGAAAGACCAGAGAGGGTAGTAGATAGAGGGTCTGTATTCGGCTAGGACTGAGTACATCTCGAACCCCTCAGCAAAAAAAAGTCTGATACAGCATGTTGGAAGCGGCAAAGGATGGGAATTCGCGACGGGACAAAGTTCCAACTCTTTGCCACAATCTCCATCACCACCAAAATTTACCCCCTAAAGTACGGAGTGTATCAGTTCTCTCGGTCCCATGAGCCTCGTCCGCGGTGCCGCGTTGTAGAGATTCCAAGGATCATCCGTTGGCATGGTTCGACGGTTCAGTGACACAAGCATTGAGACCCCCCTCCACCGATCCGAGCACACGAGACTCGAGTCGGAATGTCGTTGCTCTGGCCGGCCAAAATACCTTAACAACTTTCACCTAATCGTTGATGTCCGCCGCTTCAGTGACTTCCTCAGACGAGGGACGGAGAACACGTCCGACGACATATCTCGCAGGCTGGAGTTTTGGGTGAGACCCGCCAGCCGGGGGACTGATGAATAGGATAAAAGCTGATGAGAAATAGGTTCTCGGGAAGAATAGAGCATAACTGAGCCGTTGAATGAAACGCCTCGACAGGACTCGCACGGATGGAAATGCAGGACAACCGTGTGGTTCATCAAAACAAAAGGGGCGATATGGATGACGTGAGGATTAGGGTTCGGGTTGACAGGGTGGTTCTTGGGGCGGCGCTTTGGCCATGTCGTCAAAAGCACAAAGAGGTTGGGTTCGCAGATTGGGGACTGGCTTGAACCCCGAATGGCTTTCCGTGAAGTGAGCTTCGGCCAAGGTTCAAAGGAGGCACGTCAGAGCCGCTACGGGCAAGGTAGCAGTACGAAAAAAACAGAACGAAGCGCAGGGTTGCCAGGCAAGCGTGAGTACTCGTACCGAAACAACAATCAGTTCAGGCTTAGGGTCTTAGACATATTTGACCAATAAACTTCACGGTTCTCTTTTAGGAAGGTGGGGATTAAAGAACTGAATCCCACCTGGTACAGTCAATCCTTGTATTGTTTGTTAGCGCAGGAACCTGGGCGTTGACGACTAGACAGTCATTCACTTGCCATTCCTTTTCTGCTCTCCTTGTTCTTGCTCTATATTTTTGTTTTACATCTTCCCTGGTTTTTTTTCCACCTTTAGTCTTTACTTACATCAAGAGTTTTTTTTTTTTTTTTTTTTCTACTTTCACTTGGATTTCTTTCGTTGCCACAAATATCCAATGATTCGTTCTTCATTGGCGCCTGCCATGTGCCTCGCTAACAAGCTAGCAAGGAGCTCGATCGTACCCTGGTAGGCGCCAGTGATCCAAGAGCAACCACCTCATGTTTGGATCTTGTGTTGTGGGCCTCGGGTACTCCAAGGAGACCCCGAGTAGATAATAAATTTGCTTTGAATACCAGAGAATGCTACCCTGATACGAGGGAAGGCGTGGGAAGTGAACACGATTTGCAATCCCCTTCTTTAGTAAGGAAGTTTGTGTGAAGACTTGCTTCGCGAAGGGTGAACTACAAGAAAAACGGCTGATGCGTTGCTTGGGACTCGAAAGCATAGCACACGATGCTCAGGTTTAGCTGGGAGATTGTTAGCCTCACCGCAGGACTTTCGGTATGAGAGAGAACTTCCGAAATCATGGTCTCGGCAGCCCCCTCGGGGGAAGAATCTCTCGCCTCGGGCCGTATAGCACGGGAAGATGAACCGCTCATTGCCCAAGAATAGGAGGAACGGAGTTTGTTGCAGAAGCTTAACCAACTCAGTGCTTCACTGCTTGTCGCCACGGTTACAGAACCGCGGCAGGGGAGGCACATGGATGGCAGGCCGCTGGCCAAGGTTCCGGGAGGGGCCCATCTCCTAGGCCCCATGTTTGACGTCGCTTGTGTGCTTCTGCTGGGCACATCCTCATTGCCAGAAATGATCAACTACTGCTGGCTCTGACTTGGAGAGCAGACTGGACGGAGCATCCCCTGTAAGATTCGTGACAATCACGGAAATTTTACCGGGGTGGGGAGCCAGCAGGTGAGAGCAAGCGCGCGACCCCCGAGAAGAAACGAAGCGGAAGCCAGGGGCTAGCTTCCCCGACGCATCCGAACTCCATGTCGATCGGGGGCCCAGCCAGACCAGGAAACGGCCCGGGTCCACCGCCGCCTCTCTAATCTCAAAAGGGAGAAGCCTATCCCACCCTCGCCGAAGCACAGAATTCAGGACGATGATGAGGGGCGGGGAAAGCACTCGGCGGAGTGTAGTAAGCTTGGAGGGAGGCGTGGAATTGCCTCTGCAAAAAGCGCTGCACAGAGCGAACGGGATGGGGAGCAATTCCGGCTGACGTGTCTCGCAGGCTCGCAGCCAATAGCGTAGGTAGAAGGGTAGCGGTTCCAACCTGCTGGGACGTAGCGATGGCGGCTGTGCGGTGATGTCCGTATTGCGAGCATCGTAAGGTACCCAAGGTATTTGTCCGAGGCCAAGGCGGGTATGTCGGCGATGGGTAGCGTGGACGCTGAGCGGAGACGTGGGAAGATGAGAGACGCACTCCGTTGCGACAATATCGCATGCTCGGAATCGTGACCCGGGCAAGAAGACGAATTTGGTAGCGGACTGTCGCGACCGTCCACGATGCTACCTAGCCGGTGCTTTTTCGTATGATATTGCAAGATTGGGTCGCAGTGGGATCAGAAAATTGACTGGAGGCAGGCACGACAAGAAACAACCCCGTACCAATAACTTAGCAGCCCAGGTTAAAAAGAGCAGGCAAGGAGGTGATTGCCAACGTTGACATACCGCTCACCGGGCTTCATTTACGCGGTATGTTCAATTTGCTGAACCGCGCCATGGACGACTGCTGTGTGACGCTGGACATGAACGGCTGGAGGGAGGGCAAGACAGCTTCAGTCAATGAGCATTGCCATTGGCGGGATGGCGAGATGATTCGGTGACCCATTTTCTCCTTTCGGGACCCTGCCGTTCCTAACTTGCAGTGAAGCGGGTCTGAGAGGACGCTAACTGATCTGTAACCGGGGGCGTCGTTGAAGTTGCATTCTCTGGGTCAACACTTGACTGGATGCGCAATCTTTGACTGCCGTAACTAGACTGTCTTGAGCACACCGCGTGTATCTCTGGACAGTAGGTGTTTTGCCGGTAATGTGTTGGTGGTTTGTCGTTGCATGATGGCCCCCTTCGTAACCAATCGTCATGCGCAATAAGCGCGCCCTTGGTGGTTTTGGTGTGCGGAGTCAAGAGTACGGTGCGTGGTTCCAGTTGTCGAGGGACATGGAGGGGTTCATCGGTTCGATCTGCATGGAACCTCAATTGCAGGCCAGCTCATCAGCGCACATCTCGTTCCCTTTCCACCTGATCCATGCATCCAATGAGAAACCGTTCCAGTCAGTCGGTATCCAATCATATTTAATGGATGTCACTGCCCCGAAGGACCGCCGCCCGGCCGAGGAGGTTCGAAGCACCCAGTCTGTTTCTCGGAAATCCGTCAAATAATTGCCAGACTGTGGATTGTAGATACCTTACTTAGCCATGTCGGAAAGGTAAGATATAGTATCAACAACAGAAGTGGTTGTCGATTTTGAAGAGAACAATCTGCAGCCAAATCGTTATTGCACCCCCCAGTTCGCGCGAGACTTCCCGGCTGTAGATATTACGGCAATAATAATTGGACCAGGCATGCGCTGCCGCCTGCAAAACTTGCAGGCACTAAGTGTATGCCCTGAGTCAAGATCTGCCAGCACCGCCAATTCGGTGATGTCGGGCTCGTGCAAGGTTGCCCAGAGATTTGGTCGTTCGAGTAACCAAGTTAAGGCGCTCTTGTGGGCTAGTAAGTTACGGATACCACGTTAGTGAGAAAACCCGTTCGATTACCGCGCCGTACCGGAATCCCACCTTCCCTCTCTGGGTAGCACAGCCTCGAAGTCGCTTCATTCTTTTCCACTTCTCGAGTGCGCAGGCACAGCTGTTTCATCGACCCAAAGCGAGTGCAAAAGAACGCTCTATCAGCCCATCCGTCCGCCTGGCCTCTCTTTCGGGCCGCTGCAGCCATCACCGGCAAAGATGCAAAGCAGGCTGTTCGCTGTATCCCCTGCCCTGATCCCGCGACGCCCCGGATTTCACAGCCCAGCTCCCGTTCAAATTTAGCAGTGGCTGATCATCCCCCCGGTAATTGGCGGCGCCCCTATCTCCATGATGGCGCGTCGTCGGGAAGACAAGCAAAACTCGTCATGTTTAAACGTCTCTCCAACACCACACCCACTCGATGATCGGGGTGCGATTACACGATGCCAGTGGAGCGAATCATGGCTGCAAACAAGCAGGAGTGCAGTGCGCGATCGAGATATGCCGAAGGGGGATCCCTCGAAGCGCGCTTACCCGCGCTCCAAGTCGAGCCAACCGCCTCATCTCGACCAACAAGACTCTAGCAACGGCGGCTATCGCACAGGGAGCTCCCGCATGGTGGCGCGAACGAGGCTCCCCCCGTCGCTGCTTGCTGTGGGCCTTTGTTCGTGAGGTCAGGTACGGTGCTGATTGTCACAGGGGGGCTTCCCCATCTCCCCCACACCGGCCGGCAAGATCGATCCTGGTAGGGATGTGCACTGTTAATCGTTCCCGCGACGCCGCCTTCAAATCCAGGGCTCTGTAGCGTTGTCCCGGCGGCAGGCTGTCGATCTCTGTTCTCTCGCCGCCCGCGTCCAGAGTGTTACATGCCGAGAGGCTTTTCACGTCACTGCCCGTTTGGGGAAAACGCGGCATCCATGCGGGCATTAATTTATTACAAAGTTGGACATCTCGTGGTCTGGTTGCCTGTTTCTCCAATCTGGACAGGAAACAGCAGCATGTCGAGGTCACCGGGGCACTCAACTTTGATTGGGAACCCCAGTCTGATGGCATACCACTAGGACCAGCGAGAATCGTCTATTGCTAAGTTAGTGCCGGCGGCCGTTGTGAATATCGGGGGGCGTGCCGGTGGCCTTGGCAACGGAACGCCTTGCCTGGCATCCACTCACGCTGTCCACACTGACTTGGCAAGCCTTGAGCAAGGGAAATGCCCTGCCAGGCCGGCCTGGGTCTCGATGACCGTCCATACCACTTTGGACGAGAGCTAGGGCAGTTGAGCACAAGCATCACCAAAGAGCACCAGCCGACTGTTTGAGGCGCATCTGTCCCAGAGTGGCAGGTTCCAAGTTCCAACCCATGCCCTGGCTTTATCACGGTATCCGCTTCGTGCCGTTGTCTGCGACTTCACAGTTTCTGAACTGTCGGCGCCTAACAGGCCAGTTGCGTCGAGTGACGGCGGCGAAGTACCGGGGTACCCCCGGGAAGGGGGGGGTGTGTGCATGGAGGTTTGGGGTGCACCCATGCCTACCCTACTTCTTAGTCCCACACCCAGTTCTCTCTAGGCTTGAACAAAAGAGGCTCTGGGCTTCCTGTTTATCTACATGAACACATTTTTTGGCCCCCTGTCCAACCTCTCGCTTCTGGAACGAAGACGGGGAGAGTTTTGCATACATACTTCAACCTTCCGCCCCCCTTACACCTCTTGTCCTTACGCCTCCACCTTGGAGAACTCGCCTGCTTCTCACCAATATAGACAATTCTCTGACCTCGCCTGTCTGGTCAGCCTCCTCTGTCTCAGGTTTTCTCCAGTTCCTACACAACGCCGCACCTGCCCCACAGAGTCGGCCACACTCGACCTCACGGCTAAGTCGTATAAGGTCAGACACTTTTCCTTCGCCCTTCACGAGGCTGGCGAGTCATCAAAGAACGGAAAGTGCAAACTGGGAACACGTCGTATTCACTTTTGGTTTTCAAGCTGGAGGATTAGCAGAAAGCTTCCTCGGGAGAACAGGCGACTAAAACATGGATACAGACCGACAGGAAGAAGTCGAGTCGCCTATGCTCGAGGACTTCCTCGACTGCGAGCGATTGGCCTCGGATTCAGACGGCGACAGTTCCAACTGCACATCTCCTAGGAAGTCACTGAAACGCCTCCACATCCACGTCGACATGACCGACAGGCAGTATCTTACGCCTTTAGCTCATCACACAGAGCGGGCCCCGATCGACGGCTTGCCAATCTGCACCAGCAGTGCGCCAACCGGCGCCTACTCTTCGCCAGATCTTGATCCCTACAGCGCAGTAGGTCCCCAGCCGACCTGGCCCCTCGGGTTTGGGCCCGACTCACCGCTACTGTCACAGGTGTCTGGTGTCTCATCATTCAACTACCCGGCGGCCGCTGACCCCAGTCTCCTCACTCCCGCATCCAGCGCGGGCAGCCCGCCTCTGCAGCATAGGCAGTCAACGAAGCCCATGCGAAGTTACCACACTTCCCAGCCGCCAGCTCTCGTATCGCAGGCTCCCACCCCTCCCGACTCGTCCAAGATGTATGGCTACGGCGGATACGACGTGCACTCCAGCCAGAGCCCGTCACCCATGACTGTGAATCCGGCAGCGACCGAAGCCGGGCCTTATAGCATGCCCCCATATATGGCGCAGTCTTCCCCCGGTAGCCACCATCCGCCGTCGCCCAGCTTGGAGCTTCCGCCGCCGCCCATCGATCCCTACCTTGGTCATTTCACCGTCTCAGGCGCAACCGACGGCGAGGTTACGCACCAGTCGCTGCCAGAGTACCACCCGTACGGCGTACAGGTTGCTACTCCCGGATCGTACCTCGACCAGCAGCAGCAGCACGGCCCCCCTGGCACGCCACACATGCAGCAGCGCATGCCTCCTAACGGGGCGGCACCAGTCCTATCACAACCACACCCATCACATTTCAAACCACATGTGACGCCCCAGGCTGGAGCCATCGAAGACCTGCGGGATCCCGGCCTGCTACTCGGGCACTTCCCAGCGCACGGAGCTCTCAGCCCTGGCCGCAGGCCGCCGCCGCGAAAAAAACCATCGTCTTCCAGGAAGCCGTCCCGCACACCCAGGCCAACACCTCACATGGGTTCCGATGTCAACGGCCAGTTGAGAGCAGAGGACGACGGGGAAGAGCTCACGCTGAGAGACGACGCCCCCGAGGACGACAAGTACCTCTTCCAGCTCCGGAAAGAGTTCCTATCCGAAAAAGGCAAGGGCATGTGGGAGGAGATGAAGGCGAAGTACTCGGAGAAGCATCAGGGCAACTGGGAAAAGGCCGCTCTACAAATGAAGGTCTCCCGAGCGGTGGCAAGGTATGGCGTGTGGCCAGAGAAAGAGGTAAGCAGCCTGGCAATGCCTAGTACTGACAACAAGCTCTGACTAATTACCGGGTCTTAGATTCAAAGGCTAAGAGAAGCATTCGAGTACTTTGAGGAAATGCGGTACCAGTTCATCATTGCCCGGATGAAGGAGATGGGCGGCTGCCGGGTGTGGGACTGGAAGAAGCCACACATCGTAGCGATGCTTGTCAAGCTCGGCCTCGAAGAGGAAACGGTGAACGAGAAGACGGGCAGTCGTCGGCGCAAACAGAAGGCAGCCAGGAGGCACGGCAGCCCTCAAGTCGGCGGCGGACACGCCGTCATGGGCGACTGGTCCAACGGGCTCGGTGTACACCCAACCTTCCGCGGCCACGCCCACGCGCACCATGTCGCCGCCAACAACATGATGGCCGACGACTTTGCCGCGCAGCCTCCCAACATGAGTCCCAAGCACGAGGATGACTTCATCAACCAGGTCTTCGCAGAAGTCAAGGCGGAGCGGAGCCTCAGCCCGGACGACAGCATGGAGGGGCTCTCGTACGACAGCCCCGGGGACCCGAGGCGTCCTTCGACGGCCGCGACACGCGAGCTCAACCACCATGCCAGTGCGAGGGTGGCACAGCAGGCGTGCAACCAGATGCTTCGGCAGCCTCCCTCACAGATTCCCGAGTACGGCACACAATAACCAGGATGATGGCGCAGCAGACGAAGCAGAACAACCGGGAACAAAACGAAACATGAAACAAGAACAGCGGGGTATAATCAAGGGCAACCTGGAGTCACGGGGTTTAGGGGTTTTTTGTATGGGCGGCAATCCTGTATTTGTCTTGTTATTCCCCCTTTTTTTTCCTGCTCTCACCAGCATCAAGAATGTCTCAATCTTTTGCTTCTTGGCTAACCTTTTCATTGAGCTACTCCATTACTCCATCGCACACCACAGACAAAGAGACAGATGTTTTTGCTCACGCACACCCCTCCTCGCTCTGAAACCTCTCAATCTCCATTTTGTTTCTCTTGTGCGGCACCTAGATTTGACCCATTACGGCGAAGTTCGGTGGCGGGGCGTCCCCAGGCGTTTCGGACTGGCACGGAAATCATGTAGGATCGAACACCTGAAGATGTCATTTTGAAATGCGGCGGAGCAGAAGCTGCGCCTTCCGACCTTCCAAGTCTCGTTTCGGGCCCCAAGAAGACGGAGTGCCGAGGTAAAGACATCCACGAAGTCGACAACAAATTAGGATCGTTAGGAGACCATGAAATTGATATACTCGGAAGACCTTGGTCTCCCATCGATCTTTGAATAACCGTCACAATGTGGGCAAAGTGGCTTGGCATCTCGGGATGGATAACGGGTGCCTGAGTAGTCGGAAAGCCACGCAGATAGCGAATCCTTCGAAATCGAGATTCCCGATCCCATGTGTAATACTGCATGGGCAGCGCCGCAGCCATTCGCTTGGGAGACGAGGAAAAGGGGCGGGTTCGGCCAGAGATCTTAGTGCTTAAGCCAGGAGAATGGTACTGATGTATGACAAACTGGGATGGAAGAATCTGTGAAGGCTTGATCCGATTCTTACTCATCATGCTGCTCGATGAAGCATGTCGTGTGTCTTGGGGTCAAGCGTGCCTAATTCTGACTGTATCTTACTACAACATGGATGGCGATGAGATTTGCGAGATCTCATATAACCCTGCAAAACTCGTACTCGGAGTAACGTTATTGCGATTAGCAATCATTCGTACCAGATAGGTTTCCGTCGGCGAAAAATCTGATTTCAATTCTTCTTGGGATATTAGCTTTTGAGAAACGAAGGGCTTCTGTTTCGGTTAAGGTAGCCGTACAATGGCCCGTCCAAAAGTGTCAAAGAACAGACGCCCGATCGACGCCATACCCGGAGACATGCCACGGACTCTGCTGCTCGCGCTAGTAGCAAGAGCCACGAAGGGCCTCGCTACAGAAATCTGAATTCTTTTAAGTCATCCCGCGACATGCCACGGTCGCAACATCGGTTCGAGACTGAGAGGTCATCACGCGAAAGAACCACAACGGAAGATTACGTCGTGTAACGTTAATGCAAATTCTTCGAGGAAGTTAAAGTATTCCGAGGATCACGTGTTGGGTCCAGTGACTTAGCTGCATGCGGCGTTGCGTTTCTTGGGGCGGCCCGCCAAAACACCGAACAACGAACCCCACAGCGACCCGTGACTACAAGCTGCAAGCCGCAAACTGCCAGAGGAAGAAGCGTGCCTTGCCGCCAGCCGCCCGGCCAAGGCTGGGTGGTCCAACAACAACCGGTCGCCGATTTACAGAATGAAAATCCACTGGAGCCAGGAACGTCGCAAGAGGACGGCGTACAATACGGAGGCTGTCAAGAACCAACCCGCAGAACTCGAGCCGCGGTCCGCATTCCTTTGTCACAGCGGCTAGGGTGCCTAAGCGAGCTTGTCGCGCTGTGATAACTGAGGTAACGCCCCCTACGCGTTCCCCCACGATCTGCGCTCCATTGCTTGTTAGGGATCGTGGCGCGCGATGGCGGCAACTCCATGAAACACTGCTAACTGCAAACAGGCTGGTGTTTGTATGGAAGTCTTCCGGTTGGGTTCTCAAGCTGCTATTCTCTGGCTGGGCTTAAGTTGGTCAAGATCGCCCTTTGTGATGCCGATAAGAACTGAAACTCGTGACACGAGAATGACTTCAGTTTCGGGCTTCTCGAATGATTGAAAGAAGTCGTCTGTTGCTTCGGCTCGGGCTCCTTTCCCGCCCCCCAAGCCGTTGGCCTGAAAGAGGTCTCGGCGACACACCATGTCGAGGCTCAAGCGGCCCGGTATGTCTGCCTCCCAACGGTCAGAGCCAAATCAGCCTTGGGAGACATGCGGCACACCGTGCTCATTTCGAAAACCTCTGTCCCGGCCTGCATGGCTCGTCGTCACACGCAGCATGATATTTCCCCGTGCCTCAATCGTGCAACTCCGGAAACGAACACTGCGGAACCCAGGGATATGATGGGAGTGTCCGGTCATCCCGGGTAATATGGAGAATGACACTGCCGTCTCAAATAACGACAACCAATACAGTAACTTCCCGGCAAAGAGGCGTGGCATGGATGCGGGAACAAGGCACAACAGAAGGGCAGGGCGGATGCGGCCTTCCGGATCTCGAAACCTTGGGCCGATGGGCCACAGTGCGTCTTGGGGCCCTGCCTGCCGTATATCCTGTCTTCTGCCGGCGGACCTGGTGTGCTGATAATGTTATTTGCTTTACTTGGAAGGAGGGCAAGTCTGTTGGGTCCGCTCGGCCGTACCAACAGCGGATCAAACCGACTCGCTCAATGCCAGTGCTGTCCCATTTTCTCGGGGATGCCGTCGGCGGCAGGTTGTTGGAGGCGACGACAATGAGGGTAAGAAGATGGCAAACACCGCTTGGAAATGGGGTGTCGCCTCGCCCGACTGCGGCTCGGGGATCGTGCAAATCCTGAGTGCTGTGTTGCCCTCGGCTCGCCCAAGAAGGTTCCAATGTCACTGTGACTTGGAGTACGAAGGGTAATTTGTAAGTGGCGGATAACGGAGCAAGATGAAAACACTGTGCACAACGCAACTTGCCATGAAGGTGACAGAGCCGGATGTTGGCGCCTGCGGCTTCCTTTTGCCAACCAACCGGTGTCTGCGGGGGTTTGTGCTGGCGAACGAGATTGGTGGCGCAAGCGCGCATGCTACGGTATCCGTGTGGACGGCAGCTGCGAGACAAGCGCGGGATGCCACGTCTTTGGAGACCGGAGGTTTGGGAGAACTTGGAAGTCGTCTGTGTGTGAGCTGTTTGATGGAATGTGGTCTCGGTTGAGAATGGGCCCCCTGCGCAGGCGGAGGAGTGCTTGCTCCTTTCCTCCCGGGCTTAAACAGTAGCAAGTGCCGCTGTCCAGCCGCCAAGCACCGGCAAAAGTGGGGTCTTGAGATGACAGCATGTTGACAAACTGATCGCCAAGCCACGGCCCGAGAACTGGCCTCATCCATCGCCAACCCAACCGCCAACAACCATCGCCGCTCTTTTGGAGGTTGGCTTGCACGCCCCGCCTCCACTGCCGCAAACCCCCGATCCGGCAGCTTTCCCAGAGACACACACACATGCGGCGCCCGATTTTCCTTCCCAGGTGATGTCCTGCCGGCATGGACTGCCGCTCGCTGGCTGCCGACGCCTGCCGACCGAACACTGCCGGCACGCCCAGTGATTTGTTCCGTCCGCGGCGCACATGGCGAACATGGACCGGCTGGGGTCTCGGGTTGGTGTGGATGCTCCTCGCAGTCTGGCTAGGCCAGTGGCCGGCTGCTGCTGCCATGCGACCCGACCGCATCCGGCAGCTGCGCCAGGAAACCGTCGACATGTTCTATCATGGCTTTGATAACTACATGAAGATCGCCTTTCCCGAAGACGAGGTATGCTTGCTTGTCAGCGCGACTCTATGGTCTCTTTTTCACCATGGCTTATTCTGCCCACTCCGCGCTAACGCTTACGGCCCCCAGCTTCGCCCCGTGTCTTGCACGCCGCTGTCGCGTGACGAAAAGAACCCGCGAAACATCGAGCTAAACGATGTCTTGGGCAACTACTCACTCACCCTCATCGACAGCCTGTCGACACTGGCCATCCTTGCCTCGGCCCCGCCCGATGACCGCAACACCGGGCCAAAGGCTCTTCGAGACTTCCAGGACGGTGTGGCTGCCCTCGTCCAGCAATACGGAGACGGAACCCCGGGGCCGTCGGGCAAGGGCCTGCGCGCCCGTGGCTTCGATGTCGATAGTAAGGTGCAGGTCTTTGAGACGGTTATCCGCGGCGTCGGCGGGCTGCTGAGCGCCCATCTTTTTGCCATTGGTGCGCTGCCCATCACCGGATACAGCCCGCGCAATCCTGGCGACGACCCGATGAACCCCCGTCCCATCCTCTGGCCAAACGGGTTTAGGTATGATGGTCAGCTGTTGAGATTGGCTTTGGATCTCGGCCAGAGGCTCCTCCCCGCCTTCTACACCAGGACGGGCATGCCGTATCCGCGCGTCAATCTCCGCCATGGAATCCCGTTCTACGCCAACTCGCCCCTCCATCGAGATTCGCCGGTGAGAGCTGCCGAGGGCCCCCCAGAGATCACGGAGACGTGCAGTGCTGGCGCCGGATCCCTTGTCCTGGAGTTCACTGTTCTCAGTCGCCTGACTGGTGATCCCAGGTTTGAACAGCTGGCGAAGAGGGCGTTCTGGGCCGTCTGGTCGAGGAAGAGCCAGATAGGCCTCATCGGGGCTGGCGTTGACGCTGAGAAGGGGCATTGGATCGGATCCTATGCCGTCATTGGCGCCGGTGCTGACAGCTTCTTTGAATACGCTCTCAAATCCCACATCTTGCTCTCGGGTCACGAGCTTCCCAACCATACCTTCGTCCCACCGAATTATGGCGGCCCCTGGATGGACCCCAACACACTGTTCCCGCCGCTGAGTGACGTGGAAAACTCGCCCGACACGTTCCTGAAGGCCTGGCATCACGCACACGCCGCCATCAAGCGCCATCTCTACAGCGCGCGCGATCATCCTCACTACGACAATGTCAACCTCTGGACAGGCTCCCTGGTCACAAACTGGGTCGACAGCCTGGGTGCATATTATTCAGGGCTTCTTGTTCTCGCCGGCGAGGTGGACGAAGCCATCGAGACAAACTTGCTCTACACCGCCATCTGGACGCGCTACGCCGCCCTGCCGGAGCGGTGGTCGATCCGGGACAAGACGATCGAGGGCGGCCTCGGCTGGTGGCCATTGCGGCCCGAGTTCATAGAGTCGACGTACCATCTGTACCGCGCCACGAAAGATCCTTGGTATCTTTACGTCGGCGAGATGGTGCTCCGGGATATCACCAGACGGTGCTGGACCCCTTGCGGCTGGGCGGGGCTCCAGAACGTCCTTGACGGGGAGAAGAGCGACCGCATGGAGAGCTTCTTTCTCGGCGAAACCGCCAAGTACATGTACCTCCTTTTTGACGACCGGCACCCCCTGAATGCACTCGACGCCGCTTACGTTTTTACCACCGAGGGCCATCCGCTTATCATCCCCAGCGCCCCGCCAGGGCGTGAAGCTCGTCCTTCCAAGTCCGATCACGAGGACTTGGCCGTTTATTTTGACGAGGCATTCACCAACTCGTGTCCGCCACGCCCGGCGACCACCCCTCTCTCTGGCTCGGTGATTGCTGCCAGGGATGACATCTTCCACGCTGCGCGCATGTTGGATTTGCATCTGCTCCCCACTTCTCGACCAACGGTCGACAGCGGTCAGATATCGGGGCAGCAGCACATGGCCAGATCCAACTTCACCCTTTACCCATGGACTCTTCCGCCAGAACTGCTGCCGAGTAACGGTACCTGTGCCAAGGTTCATCACCCTGAAGAGCTCATTTTGGAGTTCGCGTCGAACGCGGGACAAGCAGTTGGCGGCAGCGCGTTCAACTTCATGCTAGGGAACCAGAACATGGAGCGTCTGAGTGCAGACCGCATCCGTGTTTCCAGCCTGTCCGGCCTGAAGCTTACTATGCACCTTGACGAGGAAGCCGGGCGAGAATGGCAGGTCACCAACATCAATGGTGTACCCCTAGGCCGCGACGAGTTTCTCGTCTTTGACCGGTTCATTTTGGGAGAGGTCTCGGACCCCAGGTTCAGTCTGGTCAGAGACCCCGTCGTTGTCAAGCTCCAGCATTTACACCGACTTGATCTCTTGGATAACGATACGGTCAGCAGCGATCAGGAACCACAGCGAGATGAGCATGAACCGTCACAATTTGATCCGTTTGACGACGCCAATCACTCGGCCGTCCTCGCAGACCTTGGCTCCCTCGTCAAATCCATCTTCACCCGCGTGGCCGCATCCCTCGACCTCCAACTCCCCACCTCCCTCCCAAGCATCGGAGGAGAAACCGCCTCGCTCCCATTCAATCTAGTCATCAACCAAACCGCCGTCACCGCAACTGGCATCGGCGCCGCACCCCTACCCTCCGTCTCGTCCCCGAGCGGCGCCCGCATCCCCAGCTTCGGTCCGGTGCCTGAAGGCGCCTTCCCATGGACGACCGTCTACGCAGCCGACGACGACGCCTGCTCGGGCCCGCTCCCAGACTCAGCGCCCCGCGATCACCAGGTCATTGTCATCCGCCGCGGGGGCTGCAACTTCTCCACCAAGCTCGCCAGCATACCCGCCTTTGCTCCCTCGCGGACCTCGCTGCAGCTGGTGGTGGTCGTGTCGGACGACGAACACGACGGTGGCGGCGACGACGGGGTCGGGCTGGTGCGGCCCCTGCTGGACGAGGTGCAGCGCACCCCGGGCGGGATCCAGCGGAGGAATCCGATTGCCATGGTCATGGTCGGCGGTGGCGAGGTGGTGTATCAGCAGTTGAAGGTGGCGAGCAGACTGGGGTTGGTGAGGCGGTATTTCATTGAGAGTCAGGGCGTCAGGGTGAGGAATATCGTTGTTGATGAGGGGGATAAGGAGGGAACTTCTGGGGGTTAAAATGAGTTATGGTGTATGAGGTAGAAATGTTTGAGGATGCCGAAACCTTCATACCAGATGCTGACCTGGTTATGGAATTGTCATTGACAATATATGGATTTACATAACAGTGAAACACTCAGACACAAGGCAGGGCAGCAAGTCGTGATTTGTGCGTGAGTCTGGTGAATGGACTCCCCATTATGTCGTCCTCTCTCCTGGACATCAAGGTTCACAGATCGACTATCTCGTGATTGACCCCAGTTGTTGTGTACGGATGCTTTCCTTACTGTAACCATTGTCATTCTGCTTATGGTCGTTGTCGGCTGTTGGTGCTGCTGAGTCTTGATCAGGGTTCCTCACCAACTTGGTGATTTGTGAAAGACGCCTTTGTGATGCAACTGAGATTGTGGGAAATTCAGGGTCTATCATGTATGTCCCAGCGGCTTGACTACTCGAATCGACCACGAGATCAATTTAAACCCCGAAATGTTTTGAAAATCCTCAACGCCAGATGATGCCAAAACCACCTCCGTTCCCGAAACCAGTCCATTAATAAGGAGTCTCTTTCCCAGCCAGCGGTGTACTTCAAGCGAAATGCACAGAGCCAAGCTCACCAAGCCTGGGCCTCCACCCGTCCATTATTAACCAGGCTGTGAATCATAGGCCTAAATGTGTTTGCTCCAAAACCAGTGTCGCAGAGTATTAGGTGCCATGATGGTCTTGCCGGGAGAGGTGGTTCGATCGACTTGGGTGCAGTGCCGATGTCGGCCTCATTCGTTCGTCTCGAGAAGAGTGACCGTCTGAACACCGCCAAGCTTGGACCGGCCATTCAGGACCGGGATCTCGAGGATGAAGAGGTATCCCATCAATTCACCTCCCAACTGCTTGACGAGGGAGCCAGCGGCAGCAGCAGAGCCACCTGTTGAGATCCCGACGTTAGCTAATGCATTTGGGAAGGACAAGTGTCTTTTTTGTGGTATGCCCGATGGCCGAGAATGTTGCAAGAACGGGACGAGGCGAGATGGATCGATCTTTTGCCAGACGAGTCGGTGTGATTGGCGGGTTCCAACGCAGGGGCTTTGCGTGAATGGCGCGATTGGAATGATTTACTCACCGGTAGCAATAATGTCATCAACCACCAGCACTTTCTGGCCAGGCTTCACGGCACCCTCTTGCATCTGGAAAAAGTCGGTGCCGTATTCTTTTTCGTAGGCGGCCGTCACGCAGGGGCCAGGCATCTTGCCCTTCTTGCGGACGGGCACAAAGCTCGCGTTGAGACGCAGCGCAAGCGAAGGCCCGAAGAGGAAGCCCCGGGCATCCAACCCCACAACGACATCAGGTTTCGCTTGCTCGCCGAACTCGAGGACCTGGAGCTCGAGGGCACGCAGCAGAGTCTCGTGGATGGCGGGGTCCTGGAACAGTGGCAGAATGTCGATGAACTTGATGCCGGGGATCGGGAAGTCCGGGAAGTGCTTGAGCGCACCGAGCAGAGTTATCTTTGTACGGGCGAGTTCGGAGGCACCGGAGGCGGCGGCGGCGGGCTGTCCTCGCGGGGCATCGTTGGTGGGATTGGCGCCGTCGCTAACAGAGCTGGTGGCCAGAACGGCAGCTTCGGCAGTGGTCAGAGGAATCTGGTCTTTGCTGGTCTGCGCCAGAGATTGGGCAGCGTCGGCGGGAGTGGTCATGTTGGAGGAAGAAAAGAGAGGGAGAGAGAGGGGAGCGGGAAGGCAGGTGCAATGCTCGTGTCCAAGTAGCAATAAAAAACTGGCAGCCAGCAGGGTGTGCAGCTCAGAAAGCTTGGGCGTCAGCAGTGGAAAGAGACAAGCTTTAACGAGCGAATTGGACACCCTAGGCTGCCTGCCAGGAAACGAAAAGAGGAACTCTATCTGAGGCGGCGGCTCCCGGGAAGGAGTTAGAGGGGAATCTCAACCCGGTGGAGTCGGTGAGGAAAAAAGAGATAATGTTGCAATGTGCACGATGGAGCTCTCTCACTGGAAGGAAGCGGCCGAAGGCCTGGCCAAACCCTGCTCTTGATTGCACAAGGCTTCCCTTCCAAGACGGGACAGCACGCCATTCTCCCGGCTTGAACATGAGTGGTAGGTATTTATAACGAAACGTACCTTTTGTCTCGACCTGGCCTTGAGTGTGAGAATGACCAGTGTTCCCTGGTGCAGTCGACCTGAGGAAGAGTGAAAATGTGGCAAGAAGATAAAACTGAACAACACTGGACAGCAGAGGCAGTTTTGGATCAGTTCATGATCCGGGTTTGGAAGGTGGGGTGGAAGAGGAGTGGGCTGAAAAGCGGCAGTCCCGCCTAGCGCACAAGGTTGTGAGGCACCACCCATTTTCCGCACGCAAAGATGCAGACATTCACAGCGCATCGGCAGACCAAGTATGGAGCACCTTGTAATATTCCTTACACAATACTTAACCGGTAAGGTAGCTTGGGCCATATATGCTTGCCATTTAAGGTTCCAGGATGGGATATATTGCAGACGCACTACTGACAGCTCTGTGCAGCAAATGGTCGTTTTCTTCTGTGGCTTGTGAGATGCTGCGGCTCAATGGGTGGTGCTACTGCAGCTCCATCCAACACACCCCAAATCCGAAACCATAACGCTATCTCAATTGCCATGCTATTGCTTATCTTGTGCTTGTGGAGATGCCCCAGATTCAGAACTTACAACTTCTCAAACACATGCCAACTCGGTCGCCTCACAGCTTGTTGGGTAAGACGTCGATTCATACCTCTTGCTTGCCACTTGGCTCAGAGACAAGACACCCAGCGGCTTCGGAGAACCGAACGGGATATGAGACAAGCTGGAAGCTACGGATAGCGTCAAAGCATCTCTCGGGGATATCTGCCTCGGTTAATCCGTAAACACCTCATTTACACGTTCGATCCCACCATTAATCACCACCACGGCCAATTGCCGTTCACACCCCACGACATTCACCTCTCATCTGGGGGTCCTTCAGAGGCTGGCCAAGCAAGCCGGCTATTGCGAGATGTGATGAGATGGCAGGTCGGTCGAGCTGGTTAATTGCCAAGGAGCCCATCAGGGCGGTCAAACAAAAGAGAGGACAGCTTGGCTTGACACAGTATGAGAGCGAACCTTCAATTCTGATGCTAATTCGTTGACACGGTGCACTGTACATCCGTATGGTGGTGTATATTAAACACAAGGTTGTATTGTCTTAAGTACTCCGTAATGCTATCTTCAACTCTAATACCTTGTACATAGAGGCTTTGCTATTTTCCCTCGCTCGTTTTCTTCTTTGATTTGGCTTGCTTGACCAACGCTCACCCGAACCAGATTTTTTTCATTTCCTTGGCCAGCCTTCCTCCAAAGAGCTGCTGTCAGGAGTACTCCGTATGGCAGCCCATTCGCGGCCGCGCACAACAGGGCAGCAGCAATAACCCTCGAGCCACCATCCGCCGGCCCACTTCCGTTTGGCTCGCACTCCGGGCCTTCGCCATGTCCGTCTTCCTGTCAACCGGCACTCCCGTCTGTTATCTGCCAGGTTGTGGCTCCCCGAGATGGTGTGCCTTAGCTTCAATGGCCTTGACCGCCTTTCGAAAGTGCGATGCATTTCGCTGCCTTGATTGCCTGTTCTAAGCGGAAGCATGACGGCATCGTGCGTATGTCGGATCTGGATCTATCTTTGAGAACAACGTATAAGTCCAACGAATACGGACGTACAGAGTTTGCCGAGAGGCGCCCTTGTATGTATGATCGCTCAAAACATCGTCCAGGCACTGGCACCGTCGTTACGTTAGGGAGCGCAAAATGGAAAGGTTGCAGCTTCCTCCTTACATTTTCTCCATTTCTTCTTCGATATCATATAAC